TTATGGGACGCAGCTTCATGGAACACCGGAGGAATCTAGAGAATGTATTCAGAAGATTCCGCGAGTCAAACCTAAAGCTCAATCTAAATATGTGCGCAAGGAGGTAGCGTTCTTGGGGCACATAATATCTGACAAGGGTTTCCTAACGAATCCTGAAAAATTAAAAGCTACAGTCCCGTCTGCTGCCTGGTCCGGGTGGATTTTTTTCTAGTTACATTTTCTTTTAATTTAAACATCGAGCAGTTACATGCTTAAAAAATATAAAGGTAAAAAGCTGTGCAGGAATGGCCAACACCGAGAAATAAGACTAAAATAAGAGCTTTTCTAGGCCTATGTGCGTACTACCGCAGATTTATGAAAAGCTTCTCTGAGATAGCCAGGCCATTACATCATCTCACGGAAGAGAAAAGAGATATTTCGTTTGGGACACAGACTGCCGGCGCTCTTTCACGAAGTTAAAGGATTTACTTTGTCCTGCACCAATCCTAAGCTATCCACGAAGAGAGGGAATATTTTTTTTTATAGATAGGTCCAACAAATGACTACACCCCACCTGATATTAAGTGACGGTGAAGACGCGAAGGTAGCTGATACAGCAGTTCTACATGCCCCACCAGCCATCCTCACCCTTACGGCCTGCATGTTGCTACTTCACGCCTCTTTTAAAGGATCCCAGGTTGTAAGAGGGATGGAACACGTACAAACGGTGGTCCCAAGCTGTAAAGTTGCTTAGGTTTTAAGACATGTGCACGACGGTACATCTGGTGGACACCTGGGAATAAGGAAGACCTTAGTGAAAATGCGGGGACGTTTCTACTGGATGCACTGTTGAGAAGACGTCAAGGACTGGTAGGTAGGAAAGGTAATTTATGCGTCTCGGTAAAAGGGCCTCGCAGTAGATCCAAGGGGAAGATGCAGCTTTACCAGGTCGGCGCTCCTTAGGAAAGAATTGCCATTGACGTCGCTGGGCCTTTTCCACAAACAGAAGATGGAAACCGTAACATTGTGGTGGTTCAAGACTATTTCAGTAAATGGCCCGAACTGTTTGCTATACCAAACCAGGAGACTCAGACCGTAGCCAAGAGGTTGATCGAAGAAGTAATGTGCCGATTCGGCGTTCCGTTGGAATTACACAGCAATCAAGCAAGGAACTTTAAGTCAAACTTATTCCAGGAGATGTGAAATTTACTCGGAATAAATAACACGCGTACGACTTTGGCACACCCACAATCCGACGGCATGGTAGCAAGATTCAATCAGACTCTGGAAAATCATTTGGCGAAAGTCGTAGAAAAACATTAACGGGATTGGGATCGTCGCATTCCGCTCTTTTTGATGGCGTACCGATCTGCTGCACATGACATCACTGGATTATCCTGAAATCAGGCGATAAAATGAAAAGCAGGTATGATCGGAATTCTGACTTTTCTAGAAAGGGCCGATTGGCATATATGGGCGACAGGCGCCGCGCAGAGAGTTTAGTGTCAAAGCGATAACAATTGAGTTTCAACAGCGAATTCGGAACTAATACAAAAGTGATCAAAGTCCAAGTAAAGTGTTCCAGAGCGATTGTATAAAGACTAGCATAGTGACGTCAGTGTTTAGTGAGTGTATTATGATTAACATTGCCTGTTATCTGGGAGTTATGTGGTGAATAAAGTACTGTCAAGCGTGAACTGGCATATAATTTCGAACCCCATCCCGACACGTAACAATATAATACAAGATAACACAATTTCGACGATTATTTAATAAGCGTCCCAAACGCAAAAGTTTGTGAAATATGAATAATTTATATACCTCATACTTACATTTAAAGTAATTTTCTATGTGAAGTTGGAAATTCGAATTAACAGGAGTTAGGAGTTTAACAACAAAATTTTTGGCCGACACGTACTTTAAAAGGACACTTTATTCAACTTTTCCATAACTTCAAAATTTTGTATTAAAGCTTTTATTGAAATTTAAATGTCTTAAAGAAAATGGATGTAAGAAGATCTGAGTAAATAAAGCACTGACGGATTGGATTTAGGCAGACACCGCACCCGTAGGATAAGAGTGCGAAGACCCGGTCTACACACGACGCGATATACCAGGTACAGGTACGTAACTAGAGCCGAGGTTCGAGTCTCAGAGACGCCTTCTAGTTGAGCCGTCCCTCTCAGGTTTGATTGGTCTAGGGCTCCAGACGTAGAGGAGACTTCCCCCGTAGGGAGATACTATCCGCCTGGAATACCTCTAGGGGAACTCGCCAATTCTCGGTTTGAGGTCCCCTTAGGATCTCGTCGTCCCCAAACCCGGTGACGCTAAAAAGGTCATCTGGGAAGCGAACAGCATACACAATCAAATAAAATCAGAGGTTTATGCCGAAATTTGCGGCATAAACGGCTGTATCTTTTGATTGCTTTGGTTTCGAAGTTTGATTTTTCACAGCTCCAAGGGACAGTAGATCTGAGTATTAGATATAAATTTCAGTTTGCTACCTCCACGCGTTTCTGAGAAATACGCTCTTGACAGACGGACGGACGGATAACAAAGTGATCCTATAAGGGTTCAGTTTTTTCTTTTTAGGTACGGAACCCTAAAAATGATGTTAAATAATTATAAAAAATATCTAGATATTCAAAATATTTTGAATACTTTTTCATCAGTGCTATTCTCTAAGAACAAACTCACTTTTCACCGCAAAATCATTTGAAATTCGTATTCTAATTTTAAAACACACCGCAGATTGCGCGGTGAAAAGTGAGCTTATCCTTACAGAAAAACTTTCCAGGGGGACAATATGGTATCTCTCTAAAAAGGTCCAAAAGGAATCTAGGACCTCCGTGGCCGAGTGGTTTGTACGCCGGGTTTCATGGTGTCGCCGACTCGAGAGGTCCTGGGTTCAAATCCCGGTGGGGACAGATGTTTGTGTGATGAATACGAGCATTTGTACTCTAGTCATGGATGTTTAATATGTATTACTATAAAAAAAATATACTTATATATGTACAGTATATTTATTCTATCCGTTATCCTAGTATCCCATAACACAAGCTTGATAGTGCTTACTTTGGGGCTAGGCTAATTGGTGTGAGTGTTGGAAACATTTATTTATTTATTAAAACCAGTAGTGGTGTAATCAGTAGGTATTTATTCATTTCATTTAAAAGGTCGGGTACTGAACTTACGCTTGACCAGTTATTTTTTGTTCAGGTCACGTAAATGTTTAGTAACATCATAACATCGACGAGTTACGGCGCTCGGAGATAAGTAATAATAAAAATTACGCAGAGTTCAATGTTCTAACACATTACAGAACGAGTCTGTTATTTGTCCAATTTAATTAATCACTCAGTACGAATGGCAAGCGATTTCAGGTTCTATCACCTAGTAAGTTTAGTTTTCATTCTCAGTTAGCAACTGCAAGCTAATAACTCATCAGAGGAACCGATGGAGATATAATATTAATGGTCGAGAGAGCAATCATTATTCGATTCCAAACCAATTATATTGAATACTTACCTATATTTATTCTTTGTGTTGTAGTCATGTTTTTGTACGATAGCGCAATAAATAAATATTGTATTCTACCACATACATGATAGTACTTTTATACTGATAATTAAAGCAATTATGCAAAATTATTCCCTAATTTCAAAATATGAAAAATGCACAACTCAAGTTTTCACTTCTGCCGGCACTCCCTGAGTGCAATCCGTCGTTTTTTTATTATTAAATAACGTGTACCATATCTCTTTGTTTGTTGATTAGGGCTACGCTCCGTAACTATCCTCCGGGTGTAGATTGTCGCTCTGAAGCGTTTCGGTTCAGGCATGGGGTGTGAGGGGACTGTGTCGGGTTTGTGTGGAGCGCGGCCCTGGGTTGCGTTCCGCGCTACGTGTGCGGCTTGTGTCGGATTTGGCATGGTTCTCGTTCATCACTATGTCGGGACTTGAACTCGGGGAGGGGAGTTGCAGCTTGCGTCTGGGTGCAGAGCGCGGCCTTGTTGGTTAGATTTGTAAGTAAAAAAAATAAGAGAGGGCGATGCCAGAATATCAGCGCTGCTGCGGTCTTGTGTCAAGAGTCGTAGCAGCTTAGGCTGAGGCAGCAACCTACATTGGCCTTTTCCTTTTTTTATATTATTTACTTCCTCTTTTTTTATTTAATGTATGTTGTTTTGTAAATATTCTCTGTCAGGTCATTAACGTTTTTCTTTCTTTCTTTCTGATTAGTCATAACAAATTTAATGTATACCTATATTACCTTATGTTTGAAACTGATGTTGGTGCCAAAGACTGTAAAAGAAATACACATTATGAACATATTAGGTACTAAACTTCACTCATTTACCTAATTCTGGATCTACTCTGTATGTTTTAAAAATTGAAAAAAAAATGTATTCTTCTAGGGATTGTTACATAGCCGTTTTACCCTTTGGGTACGGAACCCTAAAAGAATATTACCCGGAATCAAAATACCATAAGCAGCTCGATGGCGCAATGGTAAGCGCGTTCGATCTGCGATTGTGCAACTTGCGCAACAGTTAGACATCAGACGCCTTTTGGTATTTATCATGTTGGTATATTTAGTTCATCATAAACGGTTACATTGAGGTAAGTACTTTCTTGAATAAAAATACACTTATAATTTTGGGGATCAAAATTACAAGGTACGCTTTTAAAAAACAGAATATTTTTAGTTTACTTACTACTAAGTACATAAGCATATAAAATCATTTCTCATTTCTAGGGTCTGCCGGAAAGTGCCTTAGTATATTTAATTATACAGGTATAGTATGAGGATAAAAGGATGAAGCCTTTATGTAATGAATAATGGAAAAAACTCGCTGAACGCATATTTAAGAGTTTAAGAGCTTCTGAAATTCCTAATCGAAAAGCACTTTTTTAAATGGGCCTGTATTTTATAATCTTTTTATAAGATCAGAATTATTTTGAAATCGGGACACAGAAGTATGTTACCCGTGTTATGTGTCTTTAACATTAATTGGTACTTACGCTTTTTAAAGTAATTATATTTTTTATTCGTTTTTTAACTGTTTACTATGTAGGTATCATTGGGTTTCTTTTCTCCCAAAATCAATGAGCTGGATTTCCGTTTATGCTAGACGAAGTAAGTTCCATTAGTTCGAATGCAATCAAAGCCTACATCACTAAAAAAAATAAAAAACGATGTTCGTTAAATGAATACTTAAAATTTCAAACTTGTTTCTAAACGTGTTAAGGGCTCAAATATATAAATCCGAATAAAGAATTTCTTTCAATTAACATTTTTATTTTTATAATAGTCCGTCTGAACATCTGCGATTTATAAGTTACGTATACTCACACTACTCTGGGTTTTGTTTTCCTGTATATAGTAAGTGAAAATCTCGTACCATATATTTTAATAGCCCTCTCTGCTTTTTAATTATATAAAAACCGGCCAAGTGCTTCGGGTTCAGAAGATAGTACACTCAGCCACATAACAAGCTACCAGAAACTGTTAAGTTTTCGCAAAAGATCTCTACCTAATACTAAACCAATTTTTTTATCAAGTATTAATTAGATCAGTGCTTGTTAACTTGACCGGTGCTTGACTGTACTTTAAAATAAAAATAGGGCACAGGAACTAATACTAAAACAAATCTTGTTTGATGTTGTAGGTGTTCACAAGATGTATAGCTAGCTGACAGATGCAAAGATCACAGACGAGGGTCTTTTACACAGGGTACTTACTTATGTCAGTTATATCATACCCTAAACTCAAGTGTTACATCAACTCAGGGTATTGATCACGCTACCTCATAGATAAGTTTCGCTACATCCGATTGCAAAATAATTTTGAAAGGTCCTATGTCGAATTTCTTCAGATCCTAATGTTGTATTAATACTAGTGTCTTTAATTATTGACACATTTCCCCAACAAGTGTTGCATATCTACTATTTTAGCACACAAGTCACAGTTTGGCGGTAAAAAAAAACTTTTTTATTAAATAACCAACTTTGGTTGACAAAAACGGCTTTACTACAAAAAAATTAGACAAGATTTGAAACCTAGTTTAGTAAAATTTTATTATTTCTTCGTTTAGATCACAGTCTATGTAAATATATGTATAATCTATCTCCTACACAAGTTTCTGTTCGCAAACATATATGAGCAGGTTCACACCTGTAATGTTTAGCAATGCCTTTCCAGATTTAGTAGAAACCTTAACGGTGTCCGCTTCTTACCCGCTACGTGCTTCGTCACGGACAAATTTATTGCGTCGTGGACTACCGCGACGGACTCCCGCCACTCACAGCGCCGCCAGTACAATTTCGATCGAGCGGGTGAACACTCGGCAATGGATTATTATTTTTGTTGTTACTACAACATAGCAAAAGGAAGACGCAGATAAGGGCCCGTAGTACAGCCAATCGAGCAATCACGTCGCGTGCGGGATGCACCTCACGCAGCGTTGTTCTATGAAATGACATGAAACAGCACCCGGAAGGGACGTCCACGCTGTGCATCTGCTTAAGGACGCCCTTATAGCCAATCCAAAAATATGAGAATTTTAAATAAAACCAGCATGGTTTTAAATATTTTTAATACAAACAAACACCTCCAGTTCTCACATGTCTTTGAAGAACGCCGTTTTCGGTAATACTTTGGCAGCGGCTCGTATATTTCCAACCACAGTTCCGTACGCTTCCGCAGCAATTACGCATAAAGACTTTTGTCTAATTTCCGTTGATCTCTTCTCGTAGTCAGCTCTCCTTGCGACTGCATCTGGGTCTGTATAAAAAATATTATCATTATTTTTTGCTAGAAAAAAATCAATTCCGACGTAGGGGTAAGGCTGGTATGTACTTGGTTGTTTAGTTAAATTATAATGTAGAAGTTTAGTGTGTAGAGAAAAAATAAGAACTTTTTACTACGAAATGAAACAAAGTCCACTTTCAATCTGTACGTAGTCTCACGATGGTGTCCAAAACTGCTTAACGGATTTTTACGCGTTTTTTACGATCAGTTAGGTGACTCTTCATGAAAGTTTTCTTCGATAATGATAAATGCCCGAGAACAAAAACAATATTCTTCGTCGAAACGAAGCAAGGGCGGGTCTCATTGTAACACTTAGGCTGCGCTGTTTGATACATAAGTTAAATTTGACTATTAGTCAATGTCACGTCAAATACATAGAATAATGTGTAAAAGGAGATCTTAGATTTTTGCCCCATTTTGTAGCTTGGCACAAATTATCTCAAAAAAAAAACATCTTAAATTGTACTTAAAAGTCAAACTTAACAATATCCCAAGCAAATTCAATAAAAATTGCCGAAAATCTAAATTATAATAGGAAATCTGCGTATTTAGGTACTTTGTCATTGTCTGAAAGATTACAGCCAATAATATTTGTTTAAATTAATTTACTTGATTGTGATTGGTTTTATTGAAATCGCGTGATATCCCTAGCTAATTGTTATTAACTTAAGAGCCCTTTCACATTTATTTGCAAAAAATCGTAATTTTTGAGCGCCTCGTTTACCCCCTTAGAAAAGATTTTGACTAAATCCAATAGAAGTAAACAGTAGATTTTTTCTTCCTATTGTAAGTTAATGTAGAATATTTGCAAATACTATTTTCCGTTTTTGTACTGATCGTTGTTCCGCAGCTAGTTTACGGAAAAAACGATAATATGCACAACTTCAAATGCCTGAATGTCTAAGTAATGTTCATTACTTTAATTAATTTTAAATCCGATTACAACCGCCTCGTTTTGCAATGCAAATTGTATGTATTTATAACCGTATTATGATTGCCGCATATCCGTTCAAAACGGAAATGATTTCATTTGAATAAAAAGTTAACATTGGCGCACTCCTTAAGACCACATTTAAATAACGCTTCCTTTTAGCGGTGCTGCGTTTCTGGTAGTGAGTAAGGTTCTAAACAACGAATTAGTTGTTTTTGGCTCCACAGAACCTGTAATGGATTGCTTTCAGACCTGGAAGGTAGGGATGCCTTGAGAGGCACACTTTCCTATCGCTTCAGCCATCTTGGAGACCAGACTCCACTTTCTCTTAAAATCAGGTGACAAAAATCACTGTGCCTTGTATAAAATAAATACCTTCCTCTTAAAACAGCCATTAACAGTTCCATATTAATATTTATATGACTGATGGATTAATGTAACCTTCAATCAAGTGTTACCTTTTCTTGAATCAATTATTATAGTAAGTACATGACATGGAAAGGTGATGGATTGAAGAGAAGTGCGATCATTGCTCGATATTTTTTAAGTGGTAAAGTTTGTAGAAATGCGTTGTACCTGATTTTACAAATGATTTTTTACAATTATTTCAAAATGAAAAAAGGAATATTTTGTAGGCTGGAATTGAACACGTCGGTAAAACAAATACAAATTCTATAAATAAAGTCTAATGTAAACCATGTGGTTGTAAATCATTTACCCACCAGATTTGTTTGTAAAATCTCTGGAAAGAAATTTAGGGCCTGAGTAGCTGCGTTAAGGGAGAACGGAGTGGAACGTCTGCTTAACGCAGCGCACGCCCTTAGGGTTTTGCTTAAGACTAAAGTTCTACGTGATAAATGTATTTCAGTAATCTTACCGTTTGCAATGGTGTCGGTAAACTGTGGATCCAGTGTTACTTCGGGTACGCCGATAGCCTGGCATGTGATAGTCTCCGGGCCGACTTCGAAGAACTCTACCCCTTCACTGTTCGGCTTCAGATTGTATGTGTACTTTGTCGTCATAAGCGTGGCTGTAACATTAGTTATAATAAAAATTTTAAGCTATTGCATAGATTTCATGGCGGGCTTTGAGCGCGGCGACCGAATCAAGAAATTCCGTAATGAAAATAAACCTAACACCCCCCACTCCGACCGGCACAGAGCGGTGCGGCGTTGAAAGACGTGCATCGTCTAACGTCGTATCAGTTCGGCAGACTTCGGCACGGTGTTTGTGTGCGTGCGACTAGACGTATGCGTGTAGACTAGCTGCTAACTGCTCATAAAAGATTCTGTCTTTTATAGTCCGGGAGGCACCAATCCTGAAAACTCCGTGACACGGATTCTAATATTTAAAAAAAAAAGTTAACGCTTAGACGAACAAGATTTGCTTGGTCGGCGTGGATTTGATTGGCCGGAAATATTTTAATTAAATTATTTATTATTAAAAATTCCATATTTTTTTTCCGTCATCACGGATTTTGATCAATCTTATATAGAATTTTGTATGAAATATTATGTTCAACAAGAAAAAATCTGGCCGACCAATGATTTTTAGCCGGAAAGGTCACGCATACCTATTTGAATGGTGTGATAAGGGGTAAAATTTATCCATCATCACGGAAACCTTTATTATTTTTTTTAATTCACGCGTTTTAATGTCACATTTATAATTATCTTGGTATGCGTGCTTACAAACTGCCGAAAGTATCGCGCATACCAAAGGACATTGCTCGTTCCCCATACATTAAATGCCTCAGAACGCACAGCAATGAGAAAATTGTAGTTGTGTTCGGAATCATTTATAAACTCTCATTAGGCATATGTTGAGATACGGACAACTTGAGGAACCGTGGCCTTCTACAGAATGTATTAGATTTTGAGGTTATAATTATTATATTTGATCGTAAAACATGTACACTATATATATAATTTTCCATATTAATTAGTATAATAAATAGTTAAAAACTTAAGGAAGAGACCAGAGGTAGAAGAGAGACTCTAAAAGAAATGTCATCAAGTAAGTGAAATCTATAACAGTATTATCCTCACTCACACAATAAAATTTGGTATAAAAAAATATGGAAATTTAATAATAAATAATTTAATTAAAATATTTCCGGCCAATCAAATCCACACCGACCAAGCAAATCTTGTTCGTCTAAACGTTAACTTTTATTTTTTATTAAAAATATTAGAATTCAGGATCATGGAGCTTTCAGGATTGGTGGTTCCTCGCCTATTAAGCACAATGCTAGGTGAGACGGCGTGCTTTTTGGCCGCTGAATAACCTACATGTATTGTAAGATAATAACAATATATTTTAAACAATATTATCTTCTCATTGGTTCAATAAAGGAAAAAAAAATGTTTTCTTATCGGTCACCAAGCAAAAAATGAAACTTGAGTTAATATTAAAGAAAAAGAAATACTGCATAAATAAAATAAATAATTTTGATTGCATAAGTTGATAAAACATGCTATGCAATAGCTTTACCGCGGCAGTCACCGAGTGCCACTCGTATTTTTTATATGTTTATATATTTTACAACTATGATTAATGATTCTCCGAGGAGAATAGCTAAGACAACACAGTTGTAGGAATAAAAAACACAACATTAAAAACAACTGCCCAACTGTAGACAATACCAATACGCGAAGCGTGATATTGTTGAAGATTTTACAGAGTAAAAATATGAATTACCTTCTTGTGTATATGTATAAAAGCCCATTGATCTAAAAATGTTTCATTATGTGACAATAGAAAAACATTTTCTGTGATATTTTCAACTGTCTACGGTTCACAGAGATTATTAAGTTATAACGCTTCCGTTATCAACTTTTCGGTACGGAACTCTAAATATTTCACAATAATCTGACCGTGGATGGAATCCGGCACATTATTACATGAAGGTCGTGAAATTTAATACTTACACCTACTTAAAACGTCTTACTTAAATATTATTTTTGAAGCATTTAACTGCTAGATGTTTAAATCATTGTGGGTTACCTACAATGCGAAGAGATGGCGATTGCAGCGTAAAAAATACTAGAAGGAATTCGACATGGCCATTAAGGCATTATGCTACCGCGATAATTGGTCAATGCATCCGACCGGATAGCGGAGGATGCAGGTTCGAGTCCTGTCTGCTGCCTGGACGCGTGGAATTTTTCTTGTAAAATTTTATTAAGGTCTTACTTAGACTTAATTACTTAAACTTTTTTATATTTAAAAACAAATATGAAGACCGAGAGTAGGACTATTTTTATAATTAATTCATCACCCAAGTGGTCTAAAATAACGAGATTGAACGTTTCATATATATACACCTATTGAAAGTGTTTTAAAATGACAAAATATTTCATGATGAAATAACAACAAAAAAAACCTCTTTCAATTAAAAGGTACGATATTTCTGATAATAATGCGTAAATTGGCCACTTAGATGAAACATGCTTTAATTATTTAAGACCCCCATTACATAACTTCAGTAAATTAATTAAAGTAATTTCTTGTATAATGCATGAGCGTGTCCATTGCCTCTTCAAGATTTGAGGCGGGCATCCATATTTAAGAAATGCTCTTGACCTGAATGCGGATTAGGAAAAATCTTGAGATGTGTAATAATTATTTATAATAGTAGTGGGTTATATTTTTATTTTATTTCCTCGCAAAAAACATTGAAAAATGTTATACGTACCACTGAAAATACGAGCTCATTTGTAATCTACTTTACGCACGTGTGTCATAAATAACTATTTTGATCTATTGTCACGTGCCTACAATGACGTCACCTGCTTGTAAATATGCTGTTGAAGTGACATTACTTTGTGTTTGACATTTTAATGAGAGCCATGTGACGTCACCTGCCTGTAAACACGCTATATTTGCTAGAGAAACGTTTCCGCTGCATATTTGGAAACTATGAAATTTTACTGATATACGCAACAGAATTATAAATATCCACTTTTAATGGGGCCACTATACGCAAATAAAAAACGTTAATTATGAACATTTTCAAAAACTTGTCAAATTTATCTATTTAAAGTTGTTACTTATTAACCTATTTTATTGGAATTAACTTTCGTACTATGCTGTTATTCGAAATAGGTACTATGACTTGATGCAACCGTTTTAAAGTGATAAACAAGCTTCCATAGTTTATAAACTTAGAGCAATACGGCAGACACGGCTAGGAGGGGAGTAGGTATACACAGCTTTCCCCTCTGTCTAATGGCAGACAAACAATATAACGGTATACGTGTGCAGGATTAGGCGACAAAATTACAGTTTTTCTTTTTACTCATGTATCTACTGTAAACTGCATGTGTGGGCATATAGGTACCCCTTTCTGTGTTCCTCTATGTTTATAAACGATACCGGGCCATTCGCCTAACGGAGATACTTTGGAAAACGCTAACGCTTTCGATTTTATTTTGTTATTTCTGACCGCCGAAGGGTTTCAAAAATACCTCACGCTCATTTTTTTTAATATTGTTATCACCAATGCAAAAAAAGAGCGCGAGGCATTTGAAGTCCCCAGGCGACTAGAAATAACAAAATAAAATCGTAAGCGTTAGCGTTTTCCAAAGCATTTCCGTTAGGCGAATGGCTCCCAGGTAGTTTCACACCTGAGTTGCCATCCTTGTAGATAATTGTAAATTTAAAAATTGTACTCACTCGCTTTTGCTTTGTAGGTTCCGGAGAGGAGCTTGGTGGCTTCCTTCATTTCAATTGTCAAGTCAGATGCAAAGTTTAAATCCATCCTGGTTTGTAACACTACAGATTTAGCAGTAGTATCCATCCTGTAGGGAAATCAGACAGAAAAATTGTAATTCAACATTATGAGATAACTATAGTAGTCCGTCCAAGAATTAATAATATCAGCGTAGAATAATCAAATTTCATTTTTATTTTTAAGTAAAAATTGGACCGAGGCGTGACGTCATGCGGCATTTCAAATCAATATATCTCTGTAAAGTTTTGATTATGTGAAAAACGAAAAATATACGTGTCTAATACTTTTTGATAATCTACCTAAGAGACGAGAAAGTTATTCCTCTTGTTACTTATTGTTGTAGTGGATGGAATTTGAAAAATGAGACCTACACCAAGTAGCTTGAGAAACAAGATCGGGGAAGAAATTATATTACTTCGTTTATATACATCATTACAAAGGCCATAATTGTGGACTATTGTCCATAATTATGGCAATTATTATTATTATTGTTAGGTACTAGTGGTAATAGTGCGATCTTAAAATTAAATGCGATCCGGGCCTACATCATTATATTTTAAATACATTAGTAAAATTCATCGTGAATTTTGAGTTAATTACCTAAGCAACTTAAAAATCGTGCAAATAAAAATGGTTATAAACTATAATAAACTAAAGTAATTTATATCGCTTACAAAATATCCTAAAACGGATATGGATTTATTCCTTTCCTATTCTTTTTAAATACGTAGATCCAAAAAGTAGGTTTACATGCATTTATGCATTATTATTAAATCATTATTTTTTTATGCATTTTATTTAAAAAAATGTGTTATTTTGTTAGTGGTAATTTCTATAATAAATCTTTATTCTGCTACCTGATTAGTTCATATCGCTACAGATTCCTCGCTTATCTATTTATGACAATTAAAATTGTTAAGGTTTCATAATTGCACAATTAGAGAGTGGAAATGGAGCCAATTTTCGAAAAAAAAAAATTAGTGGATATCTAACCTAAAGCGTTGTCAGAATTAGTTTATAAAGTTTCTCAGGAAACTCAATTTTTACGGTGTATAGTGATTGTAATAATCATCGAAACCAGGGTTTAATTTTATTTATTTTCATTAAGATTTTCAAATAAAAAAAACCCTGAATATCCTAGGCGCTGATTACGGATACACATCCATCCAAAATAATTATTATATCGACATATAGTAAACATTTACTATATCACAAATGTTACAAATACTCGTATGTACAATAACGAGTGGTAGGGAAAAAAGTGTTGTACTATCCAATTTGAATAAAGATATTTCGATTTTGATTTGATTTCAAGCGGAAATTGAAATTGAATCTTCCTGCTTCCAAAGGGATTGCTCTCTATGTCAACACACAAAATTTTGTTTGATTCCGTTACGCTTTAAGTATAGATTTTTCTAGCTTAATAATACTTAGTCTATTTGCAATGGATTCGTCAAATGGATTTTTAAAGATCTACAAATGGCCCGTGTTGTATAATTCTAAATTTTGAATAACCTGATGATCAAATTCTAACAAATTTGCATTTTTTTTTGTATAATGATAATTCGTCTCAGAATTAATATTTATAACTTTGACAGGATTAAGTGCTGCACCAGTTATCTTCACTTCTGTTCTTTACCACCATTTAACATCAGGTGGGGTAAAGTCATTTGCCTATCAAGCTATAAAAAAAACGGTCAAGTGCGTGTCGTGCCACGCGCAGTGTAGGGTTCCATAGTTGCCTGTTGTTACCACAATAAAATTGAGCAGGAGTCTTAATTTTCTGCATTGGAAATTAGAAAAACTTATTAATATCAATCTATGTATCTTAACTAAAATACCTAAATCAAAGTCAAACTTCACCTCAAACTCAAAATCAATGTGTTATTTTTTTTTTAAATACGAATGATAACCGCCAATTTTGTTTTGTTTCCTCCCAGGCGAGGGAGCGCGTGTGACATCCTTATGGATACCCTACAGCCGGCTGCAAGATCAGACTCTTACTGACTTAACCACACCCGTAGTTTATGCTTTTGGCCAGAAGGGTCTTACCAGCTTCATCTGAAGCGATCATCCCCTGAGAAGGGGATGATGCGTTTTAACCGCCGATCTTTTCAAATGCTTATATACTTTTTGTAAACACGTCACGTTAGCGCGACTCAGAAGCCATTGCCGTTGGTGCTCGCGGTAGCGTTGTGGAATTAATGATATTTGATTGTGGTTTTTAAATGTTTTTTTTAGATTTTGTTGCAATGCAAGGTTTTACGCTACAATAACTTGATCTAAGTAACTACACACATCAAAAGTGTCTAGGGATCAACATATATTTTTGCAATAACTTTTCTCCTGATTGATATTAATTAAAATTTTCTTTAAGGATTCATCAAATAAAGTGTTTTCGTTTGTCACAGTAACGATAAACCAAGTCACCTTTGCATTAATAAAGAAATTTGCCATTTTCCTAATAAACGGATTTTTGACATTTGAACCACTAACACAAAAGTTCGAAAAAAAGACTGAAATAACAGTTTTCTCGAAAATTTTATTGGGTAACTTAAACAATTAATAATCCGTATTTCTACCGCGAACACTAACAACACAAGAACATCGGTTTGGCATACTCAAAATGAGTTCATCCAAATCACGCTGTGGAATGGCCGCCCATGTTCGTTGCAACAACAAAAAAAGGTCTTCTTGCGACTGGATACCCTCCATATTCGGCAGAGCTCTTCTCTGTAGCATATCCCATGCATGCTCAATCGGGTTCAAGTGTGGCGACTGAGCAGGCCAGGGCAGGACATTGATGTTAGCTGCGGCGAGAGTCTGTCTTACAACTCTTGCGGTGTGCGGTCGTGCATTATCATGCATTAACTGAAATAAGGGACCGATTTGCACTTGTAGAGGAACGATGACGTCTGATACAATCGTCTCAGCATAAATTTGAGCGTTGAGGTTGCCTCTGATCCAAATCAACTCAGTTCTTCCGCCGATCCAAATACCCGCCCATACCATGATGGTTCCACCACTATAAGGATGGACTTCCTGGCAGGATTTTAATCGCTGTTGGCGTCCAGGGGTTCTCCAGTGTCGTATACGTCTTGTATCCGGTCTCATACCAAAACGAGACTCATCAGAAAAGCACACGAAACGCCATTGTTCTTCTGCCCAATTTCTGTGTTCAAGAGCCCATTGATATCGAATCCTACGATTGTGCATTGCTATAGGTGGTACCCGTAGCGGTCTTCGGGAATGAAGGTTCACTTCATGCAAGCGGTTTCTGACTGTTTGGTCGCTAATTAAGTTCCCTGAAGAGTGATGAAGCCTCACGGCTAACATCATGGCGGTTATTGTTGGAGCTCTTCGAGTTAAGATTTGAATGTATCGGTCTTGTCTCCGTGTGGTGCAGCGATACCGTCCTCCATGGCGCTCAGCCACGGTACCAGTGCTTCGGTATCGTGTCCAAAGTCGACTGATAACACTCTGACTTGTATTCAGAGCTAAAGACACAGTACGTTGCCGGGAACCAGCTTCTATCATTCCCACGGCTCTGAGCATTTCTTCCCTGCTTAAATGACGTCGCCGCTCCATAATAACGTTGGTTTTAATCAGTAGTAGGGAAACAGTAGCACTAATAATGTCTTCAATGCGTTGTATGTTTTTATAGGGAAAATATTGACAGCTGATTTTCATCTTTTACTCGAATTTGATTCACAGTTCCTGATTCAAATTATGAAATGCACCAAAAAGGATCCATATAAATTTATAAAATCATAAATTTATTACAAAGCCACATCTCAATCTCAAGAAATCCGCATAAAAATGCTTGATCCCTAGACACTTTTGATGTGTGTATTTTTATTTTCTAGTAAAACTTTTCTTTAGATTTAAACATCTAGCAGTTAAATGCTTAAAAAAACATAACTATTACTGTTTTCTTGTGATTAATTTTCAATAGTTACCTATTGAAAATTTCTATAACTAAAGTTGAACGACTATTACTCTTAAACTAACAAATCTATTTTAACCGTTATAGTTTTCCTTAAAAGTTCACGAAAAGCACTATTATCATGAATTTATCCAGGTTTTTCAAGCCAAAACTTTTCGACTCCCTACTCGAACAAAAATTAGCACTATAAAGTTCAATTTTTGCAACAACGCCCTAAATCGAAAAATAGTCTTAGGAATCCCTTAGTGATTTCAAAGGACCTATTTAATGATTGAGAACTTCAAACCCCTATTCTCAGCTAGTCTTTTCATTTGTTACCCGTTATTGTAGGAAAGCATAAAAAACTTAGGCCGTCATCTTTTAAAGTCCGCGATATTTGATTTAAGATGACATCACTTTATTTTTTGAGTTATTCTTAGCAAGCCCTTAAATTTGATACCCATATTGTAGAAGTGCATCAAAAGTAACGAGTTCGCCATCTTGTATGTTCCACCAATATGGATTTAGAATGACGTCACACAGCTCAGCATGCATTGTCATCCAAAGTAAAAGTGTGTACAAAATTTCAGTTCAATCGAATGAAGAAATCTGCTTCAAAATTTAGTTGCAACATTCCGAATCAAAAATACATACATAAATACATTTCAAGTTAAAAAAAAGCTTTTAATAACTTAATTACAAAAAAAATATAAAGAATGAGAAACCCGTTCATTATAACGTAGCTATCATTCACTTCAAATTTAAATGTTTTCTTATTTTTGGTTAGTTGGGTACTTTAGATGGTTTAAATAAGGTTAATTTTTGTGCATCATCATGACAAAATATCTTGGAAGGAGTCGCTGACGGTTGTGACACAGTATTAACTGTGTCACAACCGTCAGCGACTAGTACAGCCGTCAACGAACCTCTTATATGTAAAAAATATTTAAGATTTAATTCCTCTATTAGTATATAAGAGCAATTGTAACTTTTAAGATAAATAAATCATTATTATTATTATTATTACTTCTCTTTTTATCTTTATATCACACAAAGTATTTTTCCAACTTATATACTTTAAGTTTATGTCAATGCAGAATGGACTAAAAAAGAAGTCCACGATAATTTAAATCCTTTAATAAACGGATATAATTTTACTGCGATTCGCAAAAAAACAATCATAGTGCTTTAAAATCTTGTTTGTATTAAGATAGCAGTAGAGGTGACTTTACATCGGCAAAGGCTGGTTTTATCCACACCCAACATTCAATGGAAAGGTTCAAGGCACTAAGACTTGGGCATCCCCTTTCGTTAAATATGATTCAAAAAATTTCTTTGAAGGTTGGAAATACCCCTTATTAAGCAAAAAAATATGGAAGAATGTTTGAGGTTCCGGAAAAGGATGATGGATAAATATCAAGGTCTGGCCCGTAAAGTTCGATAATATACAAACAGACCGTCATTGTTCTCTTTTTTTATAAATTTGTAATAAAAGCTATAAATACAGTAGATAATCATTATTGCTGACAATATAATAGTAAATGTATCATTTTATCCTTTGCTAAACAGCAGTGTTATTCTGTATAATTTTCACGTGGATCTGTTGTCGATCCGCGCGGTTCCGATACAAATCGGTAGTTTATTATTTATATAAGGTTGTACGCTGAAATAAATTCATTCAACCCATTGTAACATTGCTTAAAATACTTCATCATTTACAAACATAATATAAAATAAATGGATTGTTAACGTTTTAAACGGATATGATATTAATAACAACGAGGTTTCATTGATAAACATGTAAACATTTTTTGAAAGACAAAAGAACTGAGCAAAAGAACGGCTATTCACAAATTAAAAAGTTTCAAGGCGTCACTGTGATAGGTATTTGAAAAAAGAAACAAAATCTTATCGAAATCGAAATCCAAGACCCCAGGCCCGCTAGACCTTAGTTATTTTCTGGTGAACAAAACATGGATAATCGAGAAGTATGAGTGTGTACAATGAACATATACAATATATGCTCGCTAACTTGTGCTATTGGCCAATTTTCAAGTATCAGATGGCACAAGTAGGAAAAAAAATCTCACTTTACTTACAGCCTGAGGACTGATTTTCGCGTATGTTGGAGAGAATACTCTAAACAATTTGAATAGATATTGCTAGACATATTCTGTCAGCAATATTTATTGCCAGACACTTTAAATGTCGAAAGCTAAATACACAAACTTACTACCTCTTCTCGTCTTTGTTTCGGGTTATTATTCTATTTTGTAAGCTGTCAGAAATTTCCTAAGATTATTTAAAGTGCCACTGTGAGAAAAGGCACACTCATGATTAGCTTCATTAAAAATAAGGAGAGAGCATACTACTCACCGCCCCTGCACTTCCCGTGGGTGTTTACAAGGAGCGACTAAAGGATATCGGAGCTTTCATCCGCACTTCTGGTGGTAGGTGCCTAACCACCGTGCGCATGGTGAACAACTTGTGAAGTGCTTCTCGTGCGTTTCGGGGTCAGCCAGTGTACAACCAAAGCACACGTAACCGCTGGTTCAATCGCGACTATGCTGATGATGTTTTGCGTTATTAAGATAACAGATAATGGAACGAATTATTGTCGAGCAATGTACAACACATTATTGAACATTAGCGAACTATCTTGTTATCCTGCTGTTGTTGTTGCGACTAAACACAGCACGCCTGGTTGCGCGTTTGCCATGTCTTTGCCTTTCTTATTGAATAAATCGGAAAATATAAAATATTATTATAAAATATCAGATTACTTACATAACAGGATAACAGACAACAGTTTACAAAAAAAGTTGTTTAAAAATAACACAACAGTATTATTCGTTAATGTAAAACAGCCGTTATTACCATTACTATGTATACGTTCATTGTACACACCAAAACTACTGGATTATCCATATTTTGTCCACCAGATATAACTAAGGTCTGGCGGGTCTGAGATCTTACTCTATTAGACGTTCTTGCATATCTCATACATATTTTGCATAGCCTTGACCGCGTACTGTGAGTGATTGTATCAGATGTTATCAGACGTGGAAAGGCATTGGCACCATTTAGAATGCAAGAATATAATATCTACAATATGTCATATGAGAGTTCTTTGAAGCCTGTCATAATTTAAGAAAAATATTGGCGTCTTACCTCTAAATAAATAAGTAGCTAGAACTCTAGATACTAGCTTGCAACTTGTGTTATGAATATCGAAAAAAAAAAACATTGCGCATAATATACTTACTTGAAATCGCTAATCTTTTGGTCTTTCAGCCCTGTTATGGTAATGTTTTTAAAGTGAAAAATTAGATCAGATGCTGGGTCGGCGTACTCCACATGTTTTAATTCCATGGGTTCCAGTCGTTTGATGCCGTACTCTGGTATACCGACACTTGTTTTACTCATAAATGACTCCGTGGCCTTGTTCAAACATTCCATATCGCTTGGATTGCATGGGTGTAGTAGTGCTGGAAGAAGAAGAGAAGAATGAAGTCTAGTAGAAGAAGAATATACTTGACAGGGTACTTGAGTATCAGGGACGAATGATATTTTTGGTAGCGCAAGCTATGGTGGTCGCTTATCATCATTCTGTTGTCTTTAGAATCTCTCCTGGATTCACTTATCATCATGCGGGCGACATGTATGTTTTTATAAGCCCTTTTAACAGCAAAAAAAGGGGAAAGGTAAGTATGCAATACACATATATCGGATAATATATATCCCTGGGCCGTCTAGTATTGATAGAAGGTGGCAGAAATGAGAGATATGCAATACTTCTAATAATGCCAGTCACTATCACTCTGATTAACCAGTATATGAACTCAACAAAATGAAAAATACAACAATATGAATAGGTTAAGTTTAGACAGATAGTAGTGTCGATTCTGGAATGAATTTTCCTTTCCATCTATACTAATATTAAAAACAGGAAAGATTTGTATGTTAGTATGTTTGTAACGAATAGGCCCAAAAAGTACCGGACCGATTTTAAAAAATCTTTAATTTCGGCGACTAATATAGGCTATGGTGTATTTTCAATAATGTTAGGGTTCCGTATGAAAACTTCGTAACCCAACGTGTGTAAAAAATACCAAAAATAGCCTTATTTCGAGTACGCTGCGGAAGTCATTGACAGTAGAGCAAAGTGACGTACTAAAGTTTTATAGAGGATACCAATATCTACAAAAAAGTCCGTGATACCATATGTTTGAATATTACAGTTATGTCACAACTAGAGGTCCCCTGCGATTCCACTTCATTAATTTGAAGAAAAAATGTTTATAGTGACTCAAACTTAAAATATGGACATAGGCTGTCCTGGACTTTTTTTTCAGAACTTTTAAAGGCGAAGAATTCCGTCATACATGATTTTTGTGTAACTTTAACCGTTTACCAGCGCACGCAATAGAATCGCACAATTGCAGCATTTTTAATCGCCACAAGTTCTGTCAATTGAATAAAAAGGATCCACTGTTGCCAATGAAATTATAGGTATATAAAATCATGACAAAATTGACAGTATTAGTTATAAAGCTAATATCTCATTGTTCACGTTTATTCAAAATGGAAATGTAGCAAAAACATAATAGCGTTAAAATCATTGAACATGCAATATTATCTAGTAGTAAAGAAAGGCTTAAAAATATGCATATTGAGCTGAAAATTTTACGAGGATCGACAACACTGGCCTTTGTTTATTTCTGTGCGCAAGAACAATGGCTGACGAGAGAAACAGGAAGAGCTTTTCTATCAATAACATGTTTCTTTGACTCAAAACTTGTTTATGCTTCATAAACAACTTTTGAGTCAAAGAAACAACAGTCGTTGCCCTTTGATAATTTAATTAATAGCTTGTACGTTGAGGTCATTGAATTTCCTTGATAATTGAGAATGCTCCAGTTATTTTTATTATTAATCAGTTTGGTTGCTGAAGTTTGTTTTAAGTATATAAAAACCATAAATTAGCGACCGTCGTGCGAATTCGCAGTGTTAATGATATCTTAACATAAAAAAAAATATAGAAAAATCCTCCTGAAATTTCCAATAATTTTTTATTCGATGTTTTAGGTGACCCTGACCCTCCTTATGATAGTAAACTATCAAACACAAAACAAAAAAATTAATTATAATGCGATTCAAATAAGAATAGGAAAGCCAAAGACCTCTATCTGTCAAATATCGCTTGAAAAGTACGGTTTGCAAATAAATCTTGGAACCCTTTTTTAATATTGCTAATTCTAAAATAAAAACCAAACATTTGTAAACAAACAATAACAAGTATTGATAATTCATATCCGTTGATATTTTTTTTTTCACTTATTGAGCTTTGGCCATGAATGGTTGATAACCTAAATCGTCAACCAAATGTCACTTTAAGTTGCGTTCGGAAACTCGATTTCAAACTTTCGTTTACATAAAGGATGCATGTTCGTATGTGACCTAGTAATAGTGCATGATTATTCATAACTACTCCGGCGGTAATGCAGACATGAGCGGAATGGAAGAGCTAGATTCTGATTAATGTTTTTCTCACAGTCTTAATAAATAAATATTATTATAAATTGGTGGTTTTTTTTTCTCAATCTTAGTAAATAAAAGTTATTAAAAAAATCTGATGATTTTTCTCACAATAAGTTTTATTAAATAATTTTTTTGCTCACTCTACCAATTTGGTTTGAACTGACAGCTATGACATCACAATATGGCGCCCAGTCGGTCCTATTCTCAGTTGAATCGCATTATAAACGGGTTTGTGTCGGATGAAATTATAGTCATCCGTTTGGTATAGTATCGCAGCCACGGAGAATATACAATGTATTTTTATCATTGTCGGAGTTGGGTTCAAGTAAAAATAATAAATAGGTAAATATGTACATCTCTGTCATAGTGGAATTATTTATAAAAAAGAGATTTATACTTTCGTGGAACTTTGTTATCTTTAAATATTTCGAACTAATGATATTCCTACTGCTATCCTGTCTAATTAATTATAATGACGTTGAAATTCTCATTTCCCTTTACAAATATAATAGCATTAAAATGTTATAACATGAGATAACTTAAAATAACCTTACAAACCTTCTTCGCAGAAAGCACACTTAAAGAAAACAAAAACCAACAAGAATTTAATGAGCACACCCATGTTTCTCGAGCTCCAAATCACAAAGACCACAATGTCTCTACGGGTTGTTTAGTCAAATCTAAATTTATATAAGAGACAGCTATCAATGTCAACATAATAATTAATTATATTTGATAAATCGGATGAACCCATCTATCCATAGGTCAGAAATTATCTGAAGTCTCATGAGCTCCCAATTGGCTACTTGTCTGTAATGTTTATTACGTTAATTGTATAATATTAGAGATTCTTTAAGTAAGTAAAAGTGGCTTATTTACATTATTAACTCTAGAAAGATATTCTACGTCTGCGAGACGTAAGCCTCGGCAAAATGTGTGTGTTATTTCTTTTCACTGTAAGCAGCAGCGTGTTGTCTATTTCAACCAATTCAGTTGATAATAAATAAATATTTCCATCACTCACACCTATTAGCCTAGCCCCAAAGTAGGCACTGTAAGGCTTGTGTAATGGGATACTAGGGTAACGGACAGAATGCATATACAGTACATATATAAGTACAATATTTATATAGAAATACATATTAAACCCATGACTGGAGTAGAAATGCACGTATACATCACATTCGAATCCCGGTGGGAGTAGAAAATCTGCTCCCACCGGGATTCGAATGTGATGTATACGTAGATTGGAACCCGGGACCTCTAGAGTCAGCGACATCATGAAACCCGGCGTAGAAACTACTCGGCCACCGAGGTCGTCGATGGCCTGAAGTTGGTGGTCGAAGCTAACACGGAACGACTATGGCTATGCTTTACGCCTACGAGAGACGTATGATTATCTTTTATGAGATTTTTGTACACAAAAGGAAGAAAATGAACATAATATCATTTTCAGATACCTACTCTTATTTAATTATTATGGCTTATCGAAAAGTGTTGAAATGAAATTGAGGACATATTGATGGAAAAAAAGTATAAATTTTGTCTTTACATATAAGAGTGATTGGAAAATCATTTGTTAGAAGACGATCTGTAGAGACATGTCCAAACGACTAATCTAATATATAAAATTCTCGTGTCACGGTGTGGGCAAATGAACTCCTCCGACACGGCTAGACCGATTTTACTGAAATTTTATATGCATATTCAGTAGGTCTGAGAATCGGACAACATCTATTTTTCATACCCCTAAATTTTAATGGTGGTTAACCATTAATTTTGAATTTTTTTTGGACAAAATTTTTTGTTTTTATTATTGTATGATAATATATTATACAAAAATACCTACAACCCTAAATTTCACCCTTCTCCTACCCATATTTTTATGGCGATACGAAGTTCGCTGGCTCAGCTATTATGTTTATAAGTTTTTTTGTTTTTTTTATTTATGTTTTTTTTCTGCCGTAGGTTATTCGGTATTCATTACGTATTCAATTTCATCTTCTGACTTCTGTTTATTTATCATTATATTGTATAAAGTGCGATTTGTAGTCGCTATAAAAACGACTTTAGTTAGAAGTTCATAGAATGTGATCATATGTAATTTAAAATAACAAATCAATAATAAAACCTGTAAGTTAAAAAGTGCTCAATAAGTAAGTATTAAGACTAAAAACTTAACTTAGCATTAAAAAATTTAATAAAAATAATAACCGACTTTATAAAATCGAAACCAACAAAAAGTTTCATTTTTTATAGATAGGTCCGACAAATGACTCCACCCCACCTGATGTTAAGTGAAGGTGAAGTTCAGGCACGAATACAGCAGTTCTACCTGCCACACCAGCCATCCTCACCCTGCCCTGCCCTGTTGCTTCTTCAGGCCTCTTTTAAAGGATTTAATCTACTTATATTCAAAGTACATTTATTTAGAAGTCAAATTAACATTTAGTGTCAGTACTATGTACCTAACGTAGAGTCATATCATAAGTTAAATTTGTTATCACTGTTACTTTATTTTCACTTGACTATAATTAGAATCACATAATATATTAAATATCTAGCAACTGTGTTCTGTCAGCAACAGATTTGATTCATAGCTGACTCCATTTATAGGTAAGTATTATCATTTTATTGTGTTTTTTGTATAGTATTGGTGATCAGCACGACGAGGCATGCCTAAAAGAATATTTTTGAGAATTCTGTAAGAATTCCACATTTATTACTTTTTCAAATTGTAGGCTGCGAAGGCGGTTTACTTTTATTATAATATCTTTTATGAATGCTTTATTTCAACGGACCATAACTTTCCGGAGCAGTTCTGCAATAAAAAAAGTTTGATTACGCCAAACGAGCGGAGACATTTTTCTCTCTCCATGACGATTAAAAAACTTGGTGAGTCCCGAACAATTAATAGCGTTACATAGCGATGGCAGATGTTCCGTGAAATTTCTAAATTAGTGGTAGCGTTCTTTAAAATAGTTGCTAATGTAACAAACAATCATTAGTGTTTAACCCTATTTACCTATCAGACCGCAACGAATTTTAGAATAATCATTTTTAATTTAATTACATTACGTTATACTCCCTGTATTTGATGAGCCTGTATAAACAAATACGCGGCATGGAGTGTTTGATGAGTGTGTATAAACACTCAGCCATGACTTAAGTATTCTTCATACAAACATTTGCCACTGCCGGGATTCGAACCCAGGATCCCAAAGTAGACAACACCTAGAACCGGTGTACTGTAAATACGATACGGAAGACGTAAAAATTTGCTGTCTTTGAGTTCGAGTTCTGTATTATGACTGATGGATGTTTATTTATTACACGTTTGCTCACAAACTGTATGAAATCCTCGAGAATAACCTACATCTAACTGTAGGTTTATGTCAGAATCTTACTGTATGAAACACTACGGGGCAGAGGGGGAGAGTTGCTAGATATCTCCGGCCTTACGGTCTTTTAAGGCTCTAATCATCATCATACCAGGCAAGCGTCATCCTCTGTTAGACATAGGAATCCAGCAAGGAATGTCGAACCGATTGGTCCTGCTCTGTCCGCATCCTGCGGCTTTCCATGACCTTTACCAGATCTTCGGTCCACCTTGCACTGCGATACATGGGCCAAGAATATGCTGCGTAGGTAGCTTTCCAAATGCTGCCCAGCCGAGTTGGATTCATTGATTAACATCTTTCTGGAAGACTTCCAGTGTAGATCTTGCTTCGTCGAAGTGGGTACGACATGGGAATTAAGACATAATTTTCGTCTTGTCTATGTTCATTATAAGAACTACTTGTTGGGAAACTCTCCGGAGATTATCGAGCATTATGCTCAGACCCTCCCGGGTTTCAACTATGACTACGATCGCAAAACAAAGGTGCGTCATGTACTCACCGTCTATATTGGATGCCAAGACCTCTCCAGTACAAAACCTAAAACACATCTTCCTTCGCAGCTGTGAACAGTTTCAGCGATATAATGTAGCCCTGTTACACACCTCGATGAAGTTGTATCAGTTTTGAGTTTTGGTCCTGTAGGCGGACTGACATAAAGGCGTTTTCGTGCAGTGATTATAACACTTAGTTTATTCAGCACTTCTGAAGAGACTGAAGCACGGCCCAGGTCTTGACAGAATCAAATGCTTTTCCATAGTCCATAAACGCTACGTATAGTGGTAGGTTATACTGTTCGGTCTCCTGTATAACTTGCCGCAGTGTATCTTTGTGGTCTTTGGTACTATGACCTTTTCGGAATCTGGCTTATTCGGGAGGCTGGAAGCCGTCAAACCTGCGAGCGAGACGATTCGTTTAAACTCTCGTTATCAACTTATAGACATGACTCAAGAGCGTGATGGGTCTATAAATTCTTCAATTGGGTTCTGTCACACCTTTTAAAGAAGAGTGTCACCAAGGTCCCATACCTTTCCCTCGGCTTTTGCTTTCGATTATAACGTAGTTGAATAGCCTCTAATGAGCTTTCGAGACCATAATCACCTGCTTTCAGAAGCTCTGTTGTAACTCCATCATCGGTTACTTGTTAAAGTTAACAGCTAAAGAATAGCTGTTTGAAAGCTACACTTATTTCGTAAAGGCTGACGGGATATCTTTAGCGTAGTGTAAAGTTAATTTGGCTCTTGGGCCGATGACCTGAGTCACATGTATGCGTGACGTCGCGTAAAGCTATCCATAGAAGTTTTCAATCTCTGCAAAAAGCCACCTATAGCCAGCCTAATACGTTCTGTATTAAATTGGCCTATGAGTCAAAGACTTGGAAACTTTCACGAACCTGTCGTTGAACAGGACTACATCCGTGCAGTTTTCCAGGCAATCGAAGCAATATTACAGTTAGAGTAGAGAGCGTTCGGGGTTTTGGAATCTGAATAGCTTCAGGGCGGAGCGGAGACTTCATTGTACATTAAGACTTTATTGGGAGCTGCACAATATTAAATAATACCTATACTACCCATTTACTTAACTAACACAAACTCAATTGCGCCTAACACATTGTTTGCTAATAACTTTCGCAGGCGCTATATCATATGTGAATATGTGCGATCGCCTGATAAGAAGTCGAAACAAACAAACAACTCGGATATTATAAAGGAAACGACACAACAGCACTTTATGATAATGCTGTTTCCACCAACTTTCCTTATGAAGCGAACAACATTGTTCCGTTCCCGTCCTTAATATAATTTTGTGGGTATTGCAGATGTTCATTTAACTTAGACCCGTATCAGATTTATTGCTGGATCTCTAGATGAACTTGTTTTTGATATTTAAAATCTGTACCTACTCATGTATGTCAAATTCTTCTATTATATTATCAAACTAGCTTTTGCCCGCGACTTCGTCCGCGTTTTCGTCGTTTTTCGTAAAAAAGTAGCATATGTCCTTCCTCAGGGTTCCGTGGTTTTGATGTGACAGACAGATTAACTTTCGTATTTTAGTAGGGAAATATAATACTGTTAAAAATATCGCAATAAGGAACCTCAGAATATTATTATTATCACTGTGCCCCGAGACCATCAGCGTGTAACTCCTTGTATGTTATTATGTTAATGTATTGGTAATATTGTTTAGATCGCTTTCACATGAGTCTTAAGTACATATAGAATGAAAATACTTCAGCGCAAAGCTTCCGGGTAAACTACGTTGAAATTTGACCCGTCCGGCACGTTAACATAAAAAATTCTAGGACTGCTAACCCGGGAAAGACCAACATAACTGACCATGTGAAAAACAACTGACACCGAGATCTACTCCAACAACACGAAAAGTCTGCCCTTGAGCCTTATTTATTGTCATTGCATAACACACCGATACTGGGAATTGCGTTCTTTTAAATTGGAATGGAAAATTATTTGGTATTATAGGAATTCTGGGAATAAAGATGGTTTCTCCTGCACCGCAACCTATTAAAATTTGAGCCTCGATTACATTTTGTTGCAACTGGGTTACTTTAAGCCGAGTTCCATTGCAAATTTGTGGTGGTCTTAAATTTCGGAGCAGAATAATCGGAATGCCAATTTTTAAACAAATTTCATGAGAAGGAAGTCCGGGCATATTTAAAGAATTTAAAAATTCTATCGGGTAATTAGTGGCTTCTTGTTCATCGGCCATTCTATTTATTGAACTATAAACTTTGCTTTCCCCCTGGATATTCGACAGTATTTTATTATTAATCTCAGATGCCTGGTCATTGCGAGGAGTTAAAATGGACCTTTCGCATAGCCAAGAATTGTTCTTATTTAATATATTTATTACGTCACCGTAAACTGACGATGTAAGATGTTGTTGGGATTGCACTATACAACATAACTCAGGCGTCAGAATAAGTTTTCCTTGGTGTAGCAGTGGATAGGTATCTTTGGTGAAGGTATTTTCTTTAATAATATATCAGAAAATTCACGATCATCCGGGTTATCTACAGTTCTCACTCGCATGTTTATAGTCAAATGCACCGATTGTATATCACGCCACAAATAAGAGCTTTTCAGGCAATCCCTAACCTCAGCAGCTCGGGTTCCCCGTGGTATTACCGGTAAGGTTTGTCGGAAATCACCACAAAATAAAACTGTGATACCGCCCATGGGTCGATCATTTTGTCTTATATCTCTTAAAGTTCTGTCTACCGTTTCTTCTCCTTTTCGATGGGCCATCGTACATTCATCCTATATGATTAAATTACACTTTGAACGAATATTTAAACACTACCAAAACAACTAATACGTGGTCCTAACTTTAGCTACCTTACACATAAAATCTAAGTGACTATTTGAACTAAAATATTCTTATAGAATTATAAGCAGAAATATATACAACTCACAACAAAAAAGAAATGAAAATAAAGCTGAAACGCCTGTGCAATACTATCTACCTATACCTACTTCACTTAAAAATAAATACTTATAACTACTTTAATTAATAAAAGTACCTACGCTTAATAATTTTTAATTTGAACGAATATTTAAACTCTACCAAAACAACTAATACCTATTTTACAAAATAACAACAAAAGAAATTCAAATAAACTATTTAAAGACTAAAAGTCGCGCTGATAAGCACGGTTTCGGTCTCCCAGGCGGAGGAGCAGATGAGAAATCCTCATGGATACCCTACAGCCGGCTGCAAAGTTATGTCAGACTCGTACTGACTAAAAAATACCCGTAGGGGCTGCCTCTGGCCGGGAAGGCCTCTAAGGCTTCATCGGAAGCGATCGTCCCCCAGGGGGGGAGCGACGCAGAAAACAGATTTAGACAGCTCGCTCTCGGACCTTTGATACCCTACCGCTGCCGCGACCCGTGTCGAGCGCGGCAACCGTTATACAAAAATAATCCTTAAAGCATGATTCAGTATTCACGTGCGACGGCGCGATGGCTTATTTCATGTATAAGTTTGGTGTTTTATACCGAGTATTATAAACGTAAGAGTAAACAAATATGATCAGAATGCTCCGAACTGCTAAGCTATCGGGAGTTACACGTGTTATTGTGAGTCAACCATAAAAGATAGACATATGCTGTTGCAGGATATTTTTTAGACAATTTTATGTAGAATGTTTCCGTCATACATGATTTCTATGTAACTTTAATCATTAAGGCTGCAAACGCGACGGAAGCTTAAAAAATGGAGTAACTTCTCCCGTTTTCCCAACATTTCCCTTCACTACTTTGCTCCTACTGATTGTAGCGTGATGAAAAGTATACTATAACCTGCCCAGGAGTATGAAGAATAATTGTACCAAGTTCCGTTAAAATCCGTCGAGTAGTTTTTGTTTCTATAAGGAACAAACACACAGACAGACAGACAGACAGACAAAAATTTTACTGATTGCATTTTTGGCATCAGTATCGATCACTAATCACCCCCTGATAGTTATTTTAAAAATATATTTCATGTACAGAATTGACATCTCTACAGATTTATTATAAGTATAGATATAGATAAAGTAACATAATCTTCAGTTATTTCTCTTAGTGCACCAGAAAGAAATGAAATATTATTATCTAAAATCAACTATAAGAGTATGGCGCAGAATTTTAAAATAAACTAGTAGCCCGCCCGCGCTTCGCTTCGGTGTAGAGCTGTAGTGTAGACTATAGTTTTTGTTCTCAGGCTTGTATTTATACACAATGACATTCTTCTAATACCTAATTACAATAGGCACGCGCCGCCAGGCCCCCCGCCCGGTAGCGTCGGAACCGCTATGTCCCTGCATTTTAAATCTGTAATATCTTCGAAAATATTTATTTAAATTACATGCGTTAAATAGCCAAATTGGTCTATATTAAATGCACAATGTATTTAAGGTACTTAATTAGATAAGGAAGAATGTTATATTGCTGAAAATCGCTTCGTAAATAATCTATTATTTCTCGTAAAAACTATAGGATATAAAATGGTTATTGTGGGTTATCCCTAAGAGATAGACAGATACCATGGCGGACTGTTTTGTAGACATTTATAAGGTATACAATACTGTAGTACATTATTTTGATCGATCTCGTAGGGTTCAGCCAGCGTTTGCAATGTAAGCGCAAAAAAATGTGTTTATTTACGACCCTACATTAAAAACCTCTAAAATTATCAGTGTTTCCAACCGTTACACAAAAATAATCCTTATAGCATGATTCAGTATTCATGTGCGACGGCGCGATGGCTTATTTCATGTATAAGTTTGGTGTTTCTATACCGATTTCTATGATTGTTTTTTTATTGAATAGGTAATAATGTTAACTTTTTTAAATAAGGGATGAGTGAGAGTATTCTAAACGTAAGAGTAAACAAATATAATCAGAATGCTCCGAACTGCTAAGCTATCAGGAGTTACACGTGTTATTATGAGTCAACCATAAAAGATAGACATATTCTGTTGCAGGATATTTTTTATACAATTTTATGTAAAATATTTCCGCCATACATGATTTCTATGTAACTTTAACCGTTAAGGCTGCACACGCGACGGAAGCTTAAAAAATGGAGTAACTTCTCCCGTTTTCCCAACATTTCCCTTCACTACTCTGCTGCTATTGATTGTAGCGTGATGAAAAGTATACTATAACCTGCCCAGGAGTATGAAGAATAATTGTACCAAGTTTCGTCAAATTCCGTCGAGTAGTTTTTGTTTCTATAAGGAACATACACACAGACAGACAGACAGACAGACAAAAATTTTACTGATTGCATTTTTGGCATCAGTATCGATCACTAATCACCCCCTGATAGTTATTTTGAAAATATATTTCATGTACAGAATTGACCTCTCTACAGATTTATTATAAGTATAGATTATCTACCATTGGCTTATCTCACCTGAATGATATTTCATGGTATTAACTTTTTGTCCTATTTCTGTTACAAGATATTACAAATAACTATTTATAGGTACTTATTAGTTACAAATAAAAAATATATTTTATAGCAAGTGCATTTACTCTCATGGCATTCCTTAGATAAGTTAATTAGATACTAACTTATTAAGCTTTGCTCTCAAAGGCGTTGCCAGCTGATAGCTGATGATTACCCCCCCCCCCCCCCCCCCACTAGTACATGAAGCTGAGCATGAGTTATCTCAGATGGTATTAGAATAAGCTCTTAATAAATCTACTTCTCGCACATAAGATATGAGGAAGAAGAAACGAAATTAAAAATGAGTCCATAGAAATTTTAATATCGTGGTACACAGGCTTTTAAACAGTCCAATACTTGATATAATACCTGCGGAATCGGTTGACGTTGGTCGTTCAATAAATATGTAAATTGACGCTGATATCTTAAAATTTCTGCGGTGCCATAGCGCAAAACTTCTCACGTTTGCTGGCATAGATTTTTATGACTTGACGTTATAAAATTGGTTCGAAATAGATTCAGTGGCGGATTGATATAAGTGAAGTATTGAAAAATAAATAAAAGTGCGCCAGTAATATTCAACATATTACTGGCGCACTTTTATTTATTTTACAGTATGATTATATTTCAACATGGTGTTTTTAAGATTTGGGTTTGCTTTATTTTGTTTGATATATTTATGTTCTATCCTTTCACATCCTACATCCTTTGATCCTTATCCATACAAATACTATAAACGCGAAAGTGTGTCTATTTGTCTCTTACCTCCTCACGCTTAAACCGCTGAACCGATATGCATGAAATTCGGTATTCATATAGTTTTAGTCCCGGGAAGGACTAAGGAAAGTTTTCTATCACAGAAAACATCCTTTAAAGATCCAGTAAGGGGGGGGGGGGGGAGATTGGTTTAAATTAAAGCTGTGTTAACACTGCAAAGTTTCATTTTGCAATTCAAAACATATGACTATTCGAAGAGGTTTTAATAAGGCCATTTATATGAAAAAAAACAGCCTCATTTAGCAGCGTTCTATTTTTAATTTTTGCTTTATCAATTGTGTACTCCTTTGATGCGTGATGAATAACAGTATAATAAGCAGGTCAGCCCCTCTAGCATGACCAACAAAACGGGATATGATAAAGCGATATATCGGCATTAACTGTCAGACTACTATGGAGTTGACAGTAGTCTGACAGTTAATGTCGATATATCGCTTTAACATATCCCGTTTCGGTGGTCATGCTAGAGGGGCAGTAGCCTAAAACTAATAGACTTAGAAGAATCCGTTTATATCAACCTACAGAAAGCTACCATCATAAACACTTGCAGAATAGTTAGGGAATTCATGCAGTTGGAGCAAGAAAACACATCCAAAATGTGACCACGCGCTGAATTTCGGCCCGTAAATATAGCTAAAACTAGCCTAAGAGCTGAGAAAAAATTTACACTCCAAAATTAAAAAATAAACCATTTATTCTCTCCGCACTAACAGTGTAACAGTAACAATAACAATAGGCAACTAGCTTAATCAATACATATACAACTACCTTAACCTATTATGTGGGAGGTAACTACGAATAGCTGTACAAACATGTCACCAGGGCCATACTATCATACGCGAACCAAAACGTGTACGAATCATTGAAATCACTTATCAACCAAATCTGAAAAATACATTGTCAGAGAGAAAAAAATTAACATTATGGTCTAACAAGCAGTATGCAAGTACTTTAATTACTCTGTAGACTGTTCGTCTTTGTAATATTATATTAAAATTGTTAGTTAAAAATGAAAAATCGACAGCGGTGTGGTGCCACGTGTAAGAATCTAAATGCTTTGTCGACAATGCTAACAATACATTTCAGTTATTTGTCAAATATCACAAATACAAAATGCCGTATGAAGTGTGACCTCTGGGTATATTACTTTCTCATCCGTTTCCTCATCCACATGGATTACAGCAGTCATCCCCCATGAAAGGGGATGAATGAGGTCAATAATCGCGATTAAAACTAGTCGCTGGAACAAATTGCTCACAGTGAGCCAATTTTCATTCGGAGTTTATTCAGGACAACCATCATCGTGACAACATTTTTTTAGTACGTGGATTTTTTCAAACGATATCAATTACTTAATCTATAGCTGATCATAAAAAAAATGCAATTGATCCTCAAAAAATACAATTGGTAACCTAACCTAACTACCAACTGTAGTTACTTTAGTAGTGATAATATTTTTTCAAGGATCATTTAAATATTTTCCATTATTAAAATTGGTTGATTTTGCTGGGTTGTTTGTTCCTTTGTGATATATTGTATAGTTATATATTTATTATATATGTATATTTACTTATACTAGATACTAGTAATTTATTAGCCTTAGATTTATTGAACAGGATAATAATGCTCCTTCTTTTCAAAGATCTGTAAAGAATGCTGTTTTTGGAAATGCTATGGTAGCAGCTCGTATATTTGAGATCACGATCCTGTATGCTTTTTCAATGAATGTGCATATCGCTGGTTTTCTTATTATTTCTGCTCTTCTTTGGTAGTTTACTCTTCCCGCTGGATCTATAATTAAAACACATTATTAATAAAGTTTTTATCAGACCACTTTCATACTACTGTTAGTAAGCCAAGTTCCAGGATTAACGCGAGCAAGGTGATGGCAGCTCGAGCGGCCCATTTTTATGCCGCATCAGCTATCTCCATTTATGTATCGACAGTTAATATCCGTGGAAAACAATTTCAAATATTTTTACTATTGAATGTAGAATAACTGTATATAACTATAAAAAAAGAGATAAACTCACAATTTGCAATTACATCAGCAAAATGTTGATCTAATATTATTTGAGTTACTTCAATCTCTTCGCAGGTGATGGTTTCGGGACCAATGTCAAAGTGCTCCACTCCAGCGCTGTTTGGTTTCATTTCGTAAGAGAACTTTGCAGTTGCAAGACCAGCTGTAAAAGGAAATTAATTATCTTTTGAATTTTCATAGCTGTTGGTGATTTTTTAATGTGGATGTAAGGTAGCGAATTTTATTTTTCATCCATTTAGGTTGAAATTATATTCATTTTTAGTGTTTTTTTTTTATATCATGAAGCGTAGTAGGAAGACTTTGAAATTTTCACATAGTATACTCTAAATTACTATTATTGCGACAATAATAGTACAAACAATTTTTATTTATTAGCAAGGTAACATTTTCTTGTTTGTATGTTACAGTAGAACCAGTAAATGTTACCTTGTTGTTGTGTATTGATGAAGGGAATGCTGTATTTTTTAGACGAATAAAATAAAAGTTTGATTGGAAATTGTTTATTTGGGTATAGATTAAATGTGAAACTCACTTGCTTTTGCTTTGAATGTTCCACTAACGTACTTGTCAGCTTCTTTCAATTCAACTGTTAAGAATGTCTCAATATTGACATCGAATCTTGTTTGAAATACTTCTGATTTCGTATCAGTATCCATTCTGGAAAAACCATCAGTGATTTCTCATATATAACATTGTACCCTATGGTGATTTACTTGGATTTTTATGGAAAAAGGTGAACAAGCTTAGTTCATCATCATCATCATCAGCCTATAAATGTCCCCACTGCTCGGGCACAGGCCTTCCCTATGGATGGAATAGGGAGATTGGGCCATGACCCACCACGCGGGCTCAGTGCGGATTGGTGGGTTCTAACGACTGCAGATGCAGCCGGGACCAACGGCTTAACGTGCCTTCCGAAGCACGGAGGAGCTCGAGACAGTAAATTTTTGGTCACCCATCCAATGACCGACCACTGCGAAAGTTGCTTAACTTCAACGATCGCAGCCAAACGCGCTAACCACTTGCGCTATCGAGCTACTCTTAGCTTAGTTGCTGTGGTTAATTTGGGACTAATATTACTAATTGTTGAGAGTTGCCTGATAATGATAGTTTGCACCCAACTAGGTATTAGCATAACTGAGCTCCACTTATGTTACTTATATCCTTATGATCGGGGCACAATGGTGACTATGTTTTGATATACACCGTGAATTTTGAGTTACATGTGAAACTTTACTAGCTAATTCAGAAAAAGGGTGGTTATGTTTACGCATAAAATAATTTCTTTAATTTTTTTTTCGTCTCCACATTAACTCACTAATTGTGCAATTGTTTCACCATTGATTCAAATAAAACTACTTTTAGAATTAACGTACTTTAAATGGTTAATAATTTCATAATAGGTATGTTATTTACGAATTTGCGCCGTTTTAGGAGATTATGTAAAACGATATAAATCTATTTTTTTTTGTATCCCGTGTAGTACGTTTACTGTTTATAACTGTGCACACTTTTTTTTATTTAAATGATTTTTAAGTTTGTCAGGTAACTAAAAATTCACGGTTTATATAACAAATACTCTCATTTCGATCACAAGTAGGTACTGAAACTACAAAAACTGATTGTGGTTTGATAGATTTCGACAAGTCACAATATTGGACAAATAAAAGTATACTGCGTATTTTGTACCAGTTCTTAATTACAATTATGACTAACTAAAATCTAAAATTCTTCGCCTTAATGTACCTTCTCATATATTCAGTAAATTTATGCACTTACTGAAGATGGTTTAACTTCATATCTTTCAGTCCTTCTATTTCAGTACGTAAAAAGCGCACCACAATATCAGACCCTGGATCAACATATTCCACGTCATAAAATATCAAGGGATCTACTTGCTTAATTCCAAGTTCATGGATACCACAAATTGTCTTGTTGAAAAATGAGGCCACCGCTTTTTGTAAACATTCTATGTCACTGTGACTGCACGCATCAAATAGTGCTGAAACAAATGTAACATGAAGAAAAAAATAAAACTAATAATGCATTCATCATCCGCATCCGTCGATGGACGTCCACTGCTGGACATAAGCCTCCTTGAGTGACCTCCATATACAATGGTCCTGTGCTTCCTGCATCCAGTGGGTCCCCCGGACTCGCTTCATTTCGTCATTCCACCTGGTAAGGGATACTACCGACACTGCGTTTCCCAGTGCGTGTGAGGTCGCCTTTGAAGCATCTCGGTATGTACTTTCAGTATAGACAGCGGCAAATTTCTTGAGCAAAACCCCCAGATAAAAGAACTTGCGCAGTAGACTTTTTTAAGGGTTCCGTAGTCCTGACAAGGAACCCTTATAGTTTCGTCATGTCCGTCTGGCCGTCCCCGGTTTTGCTTGGAGACTATTAGCACTAGAGAGCTGTAATTTTGTGGAGATATGTATATCGATTAAGCCGACAAAATAGTAGAATAAAATTTTGTAGGGATCCGTTTGCGAAATATTGAATTTTAAAGTGCTAATTTTTTTTCGAGTAAGCGGGGGGGGGGGGGGGGATGAAATGAAATGTCATTTATTCAGTCTAGGCTGTTACAAGTACTTGTGAAGGTCAAGAAGCTACGCCATCGGTTCGCAAAACTACGGCGAGAGACCTTGTACTGAGAAGAACCGGGAAGAAACTCAGCAAGGGCTGTCTTTTTCTCCCTGTATTGTTATGTACAGTGTCGTCAAGTTGAAAAATGACTTCAGAAATACGTCTGAAGTCGCTTTCCATTACATCATTTAGAATATAAATATATAGTTACAATTAACTTTATAGTTAACATTATATTTATTACTAGCTGACCCAGCGAACTTCGTACCGCCCCAAAAAAATAGAGGTTGTCCAGCAGACAAAATCGTGAATCTAAACCATTCTCAGATCCCCTTGAACACACACAAAAATTTCATCAAAATCGGTCCAGTCGTTTAAGGGAAGTTCAGTGATATACACACTCACAGAAGAATTATATATATAAAGATATAGGAAGCGGCATTAGATAGGTACAATATTACTGTTATGAAAAATGACTAATACCCCTTTAATATCAAATTATAAGAAACACTATGTCCATGCATTACGATCATTTAGATAATTTTTCATTAACTTTATAATAGCCCTCATTCATAAGAGTATTTTTGATCTGAGATTTAAAGGACAATGTTAAAATTGGCCTAAGAACCAACACCAATTTGGCATTTATGATAATTCTTAGTATATTTTTTGCGATAGTTATCAGTATTTAGATTGACACGGACACTTCCAGTTAAGTAAGCTAAATTAATAAGTTAAAAAATAATCAGAGACAATAAATACCATTTTATGTGTATAATCTATGACAGCGATGCAAACATAACACTCTTTCTTCCTAATGCCGGCACTTCACTTGGTTATTCGTATTTGCTATTTGAAAACATGACATCAGTCTGTCCTTTTCGTTTCTTATTAAGCATGACAAGGACAAACTGTTGTCAAGTGAAGGGCCGACATAAAACTCGATAATCTGTGGTTTTGGTGCAGGCAGTTTGCATTCGTAGTAATCTGTGGCATTCGTGCATTCTCGTTTCAGATTACTTGTTGTGTGTGTTTATTTGCGATTGTTTTTCCTTTAATTTAACTATTTCGGCTATCTAATATGCCATCGATGTTACGAAAGAGCAGAAACCTTATTATTACATCCTGAGAGGATCATACTGCCAAATTATTCAAGAACACCTGATACACATTGACGCTGGATATTTACACAATATACAAATACATGTGATATACAAATAAATACAATAAACAATATGGTAAAATTATGTGAAAAATAGTCAATAAATAAGAAGCAAAACTACAGTCTTTATTTTATTCATGATTTCTACCTAACCAATTTTTTTTCCTAATAGTTATTCTTTAAAATCGCACCGAATAAAATGAATTAGTTGTAATATTAATTCCCTTCATATTTACTGAGTTCATAGGTACTAAGTTCGTAGGTTGACCTATGTTTCATTGAATATTAAACATAACCTCAAAAAAAATTGTTTTCCTAATAATTTAAGTTCTCAGAAGTGTCCGTCAATATTCCTTGTTTTTACAGTCATTAACTTGCGATTTCGAACCTAGAAAATAATATTTCATGATTGTTGGTTCTTAGGCTAACTATGTATGGACGCAGAACAATGTCCTTTAGTCAGTGGAAGCTCAATCAGATCTAGGGGAACTTTATTAAACAATGCAATACTACAACCCAGAAATGAACCTCTTGATTTTTGGAGTCTGAAACATGGAACGGCCAGCTTGTTCTTAAATCACGTGTTAAAGTTATGAGTTTCACTTTTTTTGCAAATTCATCATATTTTTTCTTACATATATTAAATTTTCATAAATGTATTGCGACGCCAGTGTTAAAATATTAATTTCTTTAAATTTTTCTCTAATCTTTCTCTCTCTCTCTTGCCTTTAAATTGTATATGGCGCGAACAGCTCTCTTGTGCAGTATGAAAATACTTTCGATATTAGCGGCTGAGCCCCACAACAAAAGGCCATATGACATAACACTATGAAAGTAACCAAAGTAAACTAATCTTGCCGTTTCCACATCAGTTAAGAGTCTTATTTTTTTACCTTATTATAAAAAAAAATCCAATGAATTTTATGTACTGACGATAGGGCATATTATTCAATACTAGCTTTTGCCCGCGACTTCGTCCGCGTTTTCGTCGTTTTTCGTAAAAAAGTAGCATATGTCCTTCCTCAGGGTTCCGTGGTTTTGATGTGACAGACAGATTAACTTTCGTATTTTAGTAGGGAAATATAATACTGTTAAAAATATCGCAATAAGGAACCTCAGAATATTATTATTATCACTGTGCCCCGAGACCATCAGCGTGTAACTCCTTGTATGTTATTATGTTAATGTATTGGTAATATTGTTTAGATCGCTTTCACATGAGTCTTAAGTACATATAGAATGAAAATACTTCAGCGCAAAGCTTCCGGGTAAACTACGTTGAAATTTGACCCGTCCGGCACGTTAACATAAAAAATTCTAGGACTGCTAACCCGGGAAAGACCAACATAACTGACCATGTGAAAAACAACTGACACCGAGATCTACTCCAACAACACGAAAAGTCTGCCCTTGAGCCTTATTTATTGTCATTGCATAACACACCGATACTGGGAATTGCGTTCTTTTAAATTGGAATGGAAAATTATTTGGTATTATAGGAATTCTGGGAATAAAGATGGTTTCTCCTGCACCGCCACCTATTAAAATTTGAGCCTCGATTACATTTTGTTGCAACTGGGTTACTTTAAGCCGAGTTCCATTGCAAATTTGTGGTGGTCTTAAATTTCGGAGCAGAATAATCGGAATGCCAATTTTTAAACAAATTTCATGAGAAGGAAGTCCGGGCATATTTAAAGAATTTAAAAATTCTATCGGGTAATTAGTGGCTTCTTGTTCATCGGCCATTCTATTTATTGAACTATAAACTTTGCTTTCCCCCTGGATATTCGACAGTATTTTATTATTAATCTCAGATGCCTGGTCATTGCGAGGAGTTAAAATGGACCTTTCGCATAGCCAAGAATTGTTCTTATTTAATATATTTATTACGTCACCGTAAACTGACGATGTAAGATGTTGTTGGGATTGCACTATACAACATAACTCAGGCGTCAGAATAAGTTTTCCTTGGTGTAGCAGTGGATAGGTATCTTTGGTGAAGGTATTTTCTTTAATAATATATCAGAAAATTCACGATCATCCGGGTTATCTACAGTTCTCACTCGCATGTTTATAGTCAAATGCACCGATTGTATATCACGCCACAAATAAGAGCTTTTCAGGCAATCCCTAACCTCAGCAGCTCGGGTTCCCCGTGGTATTACCGGTAAGGTTTGTCGGAAATCACCACAAAATAAAACTGTGATACCGCCCATGGGTCGATCATTTTGTCTTATATCTCTTAAAGTTCTGTCTACCGTTTCTTCTCCTTTTCGATGGGCCATCGTACATTCATCCTATATGATTAAATTACACTTTGAACGAATATTTAAACACTACCAAAACAACTAATACGTGGTCCTAACTTTAGCTACCTTACACATAAAATCTAAGTGACTATTTGAACTAAAATATTCTTATAGAATTATAAGCAGAAATATATACAACTCACAACAAAAAAGAAATGAAAATAAAGCTGAAACGCCTGTGCAATACTATCTACCTATACCTACTTCACTTAAAAATAAATACTTATAACTACTTTAATTAATAAAAGTACCTACGCTTAATAATTTTTAATTTGAACGAATATTTAAACTCTACCAAAACAACTAATACCTATTTTACAAAATAACAACAAAAGAAATTCAAATAAACTATTTAAAGACTAAAAGTCGCGCTGATAAGCACGGTTTCGGTCTCCCAGGCGGAGGAGCAGATGAGAAATCCTCATGGATACCCTACAGCCGGCTGCAAAGTTATGTCAGACTCGTACTGACTAAAAAATACCCGTAGGGGCTGCCTCTGGCCGGGAAGGCCTCTAAGGCTTCATCGGAAGCGATCGTCCCCCAGGGGGGGAGCGACGCAGAAAACAGATTTAGACAGCTCGCTCTCGGACCTTTGATACCCTACCGCTGCCGCGACCCGTGTCGAGCGCGGCAACCGTTATACAAAAATAATCCTTAAAGCATGATTCAGTATTCACGTGCGACGGCGCGATGGCTTATTTCATGTATAAGTTTGGTGTTTTATACCGAGTATTATAAACGTAAGAGTAAACAAATATGATCAGAATGCTCCGAACTGCTAAGCTATCGGGAGTTACACGTGTTATTGTGAGTCAACCATAAAAGATAGACATATGCTGTTGCAGGATATTTTTTAGACAATTTTATGTAGAATGTTTCCGTCATACATGATTTCTATGTAACTTTAATCATTAAGGCTGCAAACGCGACGGAAGCTTAAAAAATGGAGTAACTTCTCCCGTTTTCCCAACATTTCCCTTCACTACTTTGCTCCTACTGATTGTAGCGTGATGAAAAGTATACTATAACCTGCCCAGGAGTATGAAGAATAATTGTACCAAGTTCCGTTAAAATCCGTCGAGTAGTTTTTGTTTCTATAAGGAACAAACACACAGACAGACAGACAGACAGACAAAAAAATTACTGATTGCATTTTTGGCATCAGTATCGATCACTAATCACCCCCTGATAGTTATTTTAAAAATATATTTCATGTACAGAATTGACATCTCTACAGATTTATTATAAGTATAGATTAATCGTTTTCTACGTGGCTACGGTTACCTTTTATTATAAGCCATATTTAACTGATACGATGCGTATTTAGTTCGTTTTTTTTCTCATTACTTCATCACTCAAACTAATGAAGTTGTTATGCATATAAATAAAAACACTTTTCTATTGGTTATTGAGGTCCGCATAAAGAGAAGTCAATTAACGTTTAAGATGGTTTGGCTAAAGTTGTTGTTAGGGTTTTTTCAGAATCCCACAGAAACCTTACATTTCTCCGAGATAAAAAGTATCGTATGTCCTCAATGCAGGCCATAAACTATAACCCCCTTATTAATAAAAGAAGAGTAAGCTTGGATAAGTTACTCCATGTTTTGTCTCTGTTCATTGAATGACAAATGGCATATGAGTGACATGAACATAACACGGCGTAACTAGTCTAAGCTTATTCCTTGTTTACTAATAAGGGGGTAAGTGTACCCATCCAATTCCGTTCAATAGTGATTGAGTACCAAACAAACTCAGTTTCAAATTTATAATATTAGTTAGGATTAGGATTTAAGTACGTACAACAAACTGTATATTAAACGAATAATAACATTATCATAATGTTAATAAAGTTAGGAGAAAAGCTCGATAAAACTTAATACAAACCATCACTACACAGAACACACTTAATAAAAAAAGAAATCAAGAAAAAATTTATGATAGCGCCCATTTTCCTAGAGTTTTTATACTTATTGCGAAAGTCATAACAGCACTACGGATATCTTCATAAATTTATAATTTATATACTTAAATAAAAATAAACTTATCGGTATTTAAAACATTTATTACTTTAGCGATTCGTACCATTTCATGTGTATTCGAAGGTCAAAAATTATCTTAATTTGTTGTTGTGTCTGTAGCTATTTGCATACTTTCTAATAATACATGTTATGTATGCATTTATATTATATAATATAGATAAGTTGTGTCTTTGATGAAGGACATTTTTTTTATTCCCGGGCTTGTGATTTGTAAAAAGGATTATGCAATAAGCATTTGAGCCGTCTGGTGGTAAGCGCCCACAATAGTCTGTTAACCACTTGCGAAACCAGGGTATCACTCGTGCCGTTTTTAGGGTTCCATACCCAAAGGATAAAAATGGAAGGGGTTCCATTTTTGCCCTTTAGGTATGGAACCCTAAAAACGGTACGAAAAATAGGGGTATTGTAGTCACTCTGTCGTCTGTCTGTCGGTCTCTAGAGCGTAAATGGCATGAGTGATTATTTATATAGAATGCTTGCCAAAAACCTAATATTTGATTAAAAATTAAATTAAATTATTTGTCATGGGTCCCTTACATGAAAAGAGACGAAAATATATTTTTCTCTTTTACCCTAGCATGGGACACATCATTGTCTAGAGCTCGTTGAGTAGGATATAAATATATTTAAAAAAAAAATGGTTGCCTGTAAAGTCGGTTTTACGGGCGAAGACTTTACGTGACAACGTCTTTTTCTCGGTAGAATATTTATTGATATGAATATAATTAAATTGCACAATAGGAACAAGGAATTGAATGAAAATAAGAATTGCACAAATTTTAACTATAGAAATATATTTTGTTTACTAAAACATTGTACATGTAAACTTAAACTTAACACGAGAGACTCATCGTAACGTTACCGAGCGTTACACTTTTTCATAAGTGACTCCCAGCCGCAACCTAATTTAAGACGTTGTCACGTCAAAAACAACTACTGGCCCGCCCTCGCTTCGCTTCGGTGTAGAGCTGTAGTGTAGGTAGACTATAGTTTTTGGTCTCAGGCTTGTATTATACACAATGAATTTCTTTTATAATTATTTTTCTCACCTTTTAAGCCTTCCCTAGACCTCCACGAACATTTGAAGACCAACATAAGATAAATCCGTTCTGCCGTTCTCGAGTTTTAGCTTTAGCGAGACTAACGAACAACAATTGATTTTTATATCTAATGTAGTTTATAGTTCTTGCCAAAGATGCTTCGTCATCAAGGTGTAATTTTACAAACCGAGGATCTAAAATGTTGCAGTATTAAATAAATGAACTTTTTGTATGAAATTCATTTATTTTAGATTCATTAGAATTAGATATTTTGAATTTTAGCTCATAATTTCAGTTACCGATAGGCTTAATTCGATTGGCATGGATAAATCAATTTTGTCTATAAAATAGAAATTAGTTATGAATGTGAAACTTTGGTATGTGTGTCCCAAAACCAAAAATACCAAAAACCGGCTAAGTGCGTGTCGTGCCACGCGCAGTGTAGGGTTCCGTAGTTGCCTGTAGTTACTACAATATATGTAAATGAGCAGGACTCTTTATTTTCTGTATCGGAAATTAGAAAAACCAATTAATATTAATGTATGTATCCCAACTTAAATACCTAATCAAAGTCAAACTGCGTCTCAAACTCAAAATGAATTCGATATTATATTTTTTTAAATTCGAATGATAAACCCCGTTTTTCTTGTTTCCTCCCAGGCGGGGCAGCGCATGTGAAATCCTCATGGATACCCTACAGCCGGCTGCAAGGTTATGTCAGACTCTTACTGACTAAAACACACCCGTAGTTCATGCTTATGACCAAAAGGGCCTTACAAGCTTCATCTGAAGCGAACATCCTTTGAGAAGGGGATGATGCGGTATAACCGCCGATCTTTTCAAGTACTTATATAAATTATGGATGGAAGTTGATTTTTCTGAGAAATAAACTTTTTAATGTAATATAAATTGTCATGTTTGTATACGAGAGCACAATAAGTGAATATTGTATTTTACCACATAAATGATAGTACTTTTATACTGAATAATTAAATCAATTCATGTAAAATTATTCCCTAACCATTCCAAAATATCATAAATGCACAACGTTAATATTCAAGTTTTCAATTCTGTCGCACTCCTGGAGTGCAACTCGTCGTATTTTTCATGATAAAACAAGCGTATGGCTCTCCTGATGGTATGCGGCCACCATAGCTTATAGACGCTTGCGATACCAAAATATCACTCGTACCGTCGCCTACCTTGAGCCAGTCGTATAACCTGTGGAGCCCTGGAACCTAACTCACCGACAGAAACACTGCACCACCAGAAGGTAGTGTTATTTTACTGTGATCTTCTATAAGATGGAGGTTACTTCCCCTGACGGACACTCCAATTCGAGCGGGAAATTCGTCTTTGCCCCTTCTTAACTTAATTTTCTTATAACTGGGGCACAAGGCTTCTTCATGGATGGAATAGGCAGCGCGACCTACACAGGGCTAGTGTCTTATAACCACTGCGGAACTGCGGATACAGCCAAGACGTCATCATCAGCCTATTAATGTCCCCACTGCTGGGGCACAGGCCTTCCCTATGGATGGAATAGGGAGATTGGGCCCGAACCACCACGCGGGCCCACTGCGGATTGGTGGGTGACAGCCAAGACGTACTTGGCTTAATATGCCTTCCAAAGCATGGAGGAGCTCGAGATAATATTTAATAGTGTTGGTTACCCATCCTGTGACTGGCCAATGTGACAGGAGCTTAACTTCCACGATCGCAGACCGACCTATGTTTGTGTGTTTGTTACTTGTTGTCCTGAGGGATTTCAAAAAAAACTTAAGTTAACGCGGACGAAGTCGCGGGCGGTCGCTAGTTTATAATATTAGTAGGAGTAGGATTTGAAATTTAGTACGTTTGTTACTCAATCACGCAAAAACGACTAAATGGATTTGGATGAAACTTGGCAGACATGTAGTTTATTACTTGGATTGAGACGAAGCATACTCTTTATCCCGAAAAAGTTTTAGGTTCCTAAGGAATTTTCTAATAACTAAATTTAGCTCGTACGAAGTCGAGGGTGGGTGCTATAGTAATACACATACTTCTATATACATAAAACTCAAAGGTGACGAACTGACATAGTGATCTATCAACGCTCAGCCCAAACCACTGGACGGATAGGGCTGAAATTTGGCATGCAGGTAGATGTTATGACGTAGGCATCCACTAAGAAAGGATTTTGATCAATTCTACCCCCAAGGGGATAAAATAGGGGATGAAAGTTTGTATGAAACTTTGTCAATTTTAAACCGATCGAGCTGAGACTTTGCATGCAGGTATAAGAAGAATCACAGATGAGTGCCATTGTGTATAATACAAGCCTGAGGACAAAAACTGTAGTCTACACTTCAGCTCTACACCGAAGCGAAGCGAGGGCGGGCCGCTAATTATAAATAAAAAGGGAAGGAAAACTTTTCGTGCCCCTTTTTAAGCACATCACATATTGGTTATGTTCATTCCCACCTAAATTTTTTTCGTACAATAATTGATTTCTATACAAACTTCTTTGAGGAGCTCGAACGCGCAACTATTGGCGCAACTATTGGCGCGTTCGATCTGCGATCCTAGAGGTTAAGGAGCTATCGCAATAGCTGGTCAAGGATGGGTGACCAAACATTTATTACCTCGAGTTCCTCCGTGCTTCGAAAGGCTCTAAACCTTTGGTCCTGGCTACATTTTCAGACGTTAACATGCACCAATCTACATTGCGCCCGTGTGGTAGGAAAGTTCAAATCAAATCTCCATATTCCAAACACAAGGACGGCTGGTGTCCCAGCAGGGGGACATTAATCGCTTATGATGATGCAAATTTCCATTCCCTGTTTAATCCGCTTTAATTTTTATTAAAAAGACAACCTTGGTATATTCTATATCAATATTTACTTTATATCTATACGCTTTATGCGAGCTACCATAACATAACCATAATAGAAAGACTGGACTAAACAGAGAAGCAGGCAGTTGTAAGTGTTTTCCACATTTATAGCTACTTATAGTATTAGTATTAAGCTAGTATGGAAAGATATGTTGTTATGGAAATGTTCCAATTAATCTGTGTTAAAAACAGTTATAACATATGTGATGATGTAATTGCTTGTGATAAAGAAAATGAAATTGTTTAAAGAAAAACAGTTTAATAAGCAAAATAACCTGCAAAAATATTCAACTGGAGAAAAAGAAGTAAACCATTCATATTAAAAAAAACATAACTTTATTAGTAGGTATTTATTGAAACGCTATACTTTGCAAATATATTATTTGAAGCAACATTCTTATAGGAATTAAGCAGGTTTCAATTTTAGAGCATATATATAAGTCTCTCTTTTTTATATATCTTTTAAAATCGCTGATTTTGGCAATGCATTGGCGAGAGCTCGTAATTGTACAAAGACATGTTTGTATCCTTTCGTAATAATTGTGCAAACGGGCTTTCGTTTTATTTCCTCTGCTCTCTTCAGATAGTCAGCCTTTCTCGAAACTGCACCTGGATCTGAAATAATAGCATTTTTACACATCAGGTCATAACTCACAGAGCACATTTAATTATACCAATGGTGACACTATACTATCACAACACTAGAAAATGGTATTTTCCCATACATAGGAACACTCTTTTAAATTAAATTAAACTTTTATAGGGACATACTATTGATGTCGATTCTGGCATGATTCTCTAAAGCTAAACTTAAATTTGACAACAGTGCATCCTTGTCATTCTCTATGCAGAATGACAAGGTGAGACTGATGTTAAATTTAGTTTTAAATTTAGAGAATCACGCCAGAATCGACACCATTATCTACTTTAATTTAAAAGTGCTGATTTCTTATTAAAAAAATATATGTAAAGATCGTATTATTCGCCTACAAACTGACTTTTCAGTTTGGCGAAATAATTTGTTTCTTAGGTTTTCACGCACATCACTCATTAAATAAAACTAGTTTTATAGATTGGCGAAATAAGTTGTTTTTGTATACCTGTTTTAGTGAAAATAAATACATAAAAAGAGTAAAATTATAATACGAGTTTATTAAATACAATAGGTACGTAGCGGCAAACTTCTTGAGCCTAATCACAGACAAATAAACTTGCGCAGCAGATATTTTTGCTATGTAAAATTGCTATTTCGACTTTGTTGTCTATGGTCCGTGCTCAAGAACTTTATCAGGGCGTATACTCTTACCTTTTTCAACAATATTAGAATGCTGTAGATCAAGAGTAACTTCTGGTACTCCAACCGGCTCACAAGTGATGGTCTCAGGGCCGATAGTATAATGCTCAACCCCGTCACTGCCTACATTCAGACTGTAAAAGTACCTTACAATTCCAATTGAGGCTGTAAAATAATAATAAACAATTAGCCAATGAGCACGTAAGAATAATAATTTATAAGGTCAGCCGTACGAGTGGCGCTCACTGCTAAGAATAGATTTCTGTTAAGAATCTTCATATCGATCGGCCGTGCACTGACAGTATCCAATGGCATCTTTTTAATGCGACCTTTACCAACCGTGCTATTATTCCGTAAGAGCAAACTCACTTTTCACGGTTCAAACCGCTGTGTGACTTAAAATTAGAAAACGAATCCCAATCACATCGGCGAATACCCCGGTGAAAAGTGAGTTTGTTCTCACGGAATAGCACGGCATATCATCTGTCCAAAAAATTGACTGCGCAGACAAGGGACTTTATTTCGCGGTATTTTTTGTCCGCCAAATAGATCATTTACAACTGCATCGAATAAGGCACACGACGGATTAAACATAAAGCGTACAAAAAGTCCCCCCCAACAACAGAGGCCAGCGAGAGACGAGAGAGAGAGAGAGATTAAGTTGTGTTGGAATTAATGTGAAGTGTAAGGTAATGAAAAGACGTTTTAAATGAGAACACTGAGTTCATTTATTTAAGTCAGATTGAGCGCGTAAAGCAGACAAATGTACGCATGTGTCCTCGAAAAAATACAACTTATGTGACTAGGCGCAGCAACACACACAGCGAACTTTATTCTGCTTTGCTTGTCAATCTAACTCAAAGAACTGGATTCAGTATTCTCATTTGAAACTTCTTTACGCTATCTTAAACCTCAAATTAATTCCAACACAACTTAATCTCACAATAGTAACTTCCATACCATGCGCTTTTCTAAATTTTAGGTGGACAAAATATTGTTCGCACATCGTTGGCGCTGAGTCCGTGACAAGTACTTTGCGGATATTTTCTTACGATTCAGAGACTTTTGTCCTTCGCGGATATCCAGACCATCTGCACAGGCCAATAGTGTTCCAGATATGAAACTGCTTCTCTACGTGGCTATGCGTCTAAAGTGTTAGTAGAGTCCAGACTCTAGCCCTCAAGATCTGGCCTGGTACAGTTAGCTTTATAAAAATATGAGGTAATAAGGTGGTCTAATATATGTTAAGAGCAAAGGTTCAATTATATCTCTAAATATTGTACACAACCAACCAGTCTTATATTTCTTCAGATCAAAAGTCTCCAAATACATATACACCATTACAATGATCCTTAATATGTATGCGTCGTAACTGTTCATTGGTAACTAAGCGTCCAGAGTAGGTACTCATAATTATCTTCGCTTACATGGATTATTCAATTTCAATAAAATTAAAGGTTTATAGTACACGTGTAAATTTGGAAAGGGATCGTCACCGTATTAACTCGAGCCGATCAGTGTTCTTTGTATAAAACTTCATACTGCGACGCACACTAATCGGATCGTCTTGACGCGGGACAAGCTCCCGAGCCGCGGTGCGTGGTCAACATGCAGTTCCCGCGTTTACGTCTCTCCGTACCCTAGCTTACCTCTATTTGTCCACACCCCTCCCACTGACTCACGTTCGGATTCAAACTGATTGAACTAGAGCTGCCTAACCGGCAACCAGCGGTCGGCGAGCCGTATGCGCGGCGTCGCCTAGCCGTAGCCGTGTTTACGTACTGGAGCTGCTCATCCGCTTTCTGTAATAGGCTCAAATATAGGTGGACACCTGTTTGACGGCAAGCTGAAAGTCAAGTCGGTATCGATCCGCTTCCAAGTTGACATGTGCGTGTTGACCTCTAATCTAATTGTTTCAAAAACTTAATGCACGATCCCATTACGCAAGTTTTGCATACAAGTATGACGTTACATACAAAAGTTGCTAGTGTAGTTGTTTTGGAGAGTGTGTAAATTGCAGGCAGGTTTTACTTTGCATACAAGTGGAGATGTTCCCAATTGAGTAGGTTAACGTTTGAACGTGCAACTAACTAACATTTTGAATTGCGAGTCACTTGAATAAAAATGTACGCGAATGTACTTGTAGCTTATATGAAGATTTGTTCAAATTGCATATAATTTGCATCTATGGAATAACAAAAAAAAAATAGTTGCCCAAACAAAAGACACCTCAATCACTTCATGCACGATATGAAAACATAAGAGCCGTAATATCTCAAATTAGCGTATACTTTTCTTTACTACCAAGATATTTTTGATAACTTTGTGTGCTTAGATACCAATGAACAGTTATTTACGAATATATAATTGATTATCTTAGCAAATAACATAATTATGAATTAGGTTGTTTCGATTATATTGACCACTCTGGCCATATACAGCAATAAGATTATCTAACAACGCATATAAAATTAAATTAATGTATCTTCGATAATTTTGATCAGTCTTCAATCTTCACACTTCGATTTTTATGGAGCTGACTGTACGCCGCTGCCACCGCCAACGAAACATTAAAAAAAGTACTAATAATGAGATACGTATCATAGGATCAATATTCTGTTCTTTCAACTACGTACAAATGTTACGATTAATCACAAAACAGATAACAAAGTACATTTTTTTGCTTAGAACCAAAATAGCAGCACTTCACTTCGCTAATCGTGTTTGCTATTGGTACACTTTGACAAGTTCAAATTTAATTTCAAAGTTCTTTGATCAGTCCGTCCATTTAATTCCTTATGGAGCATCATAAGGACAGACTGTTGTTAAGTTCACAAATAACAAATACAAATAGCCAAGTGAAGTGCCACCATTATATGAAAACTCATTATTGCACAGTTTTTCATTAATGCACTGTTTTTAGGGTTCCATACCCAAAGGGTAAAAATGGAACCCTACTGCTGTCTTTAGATCGTAAACGGTATGAGTTGCAGAACGGTAATTTCAAATTACCGTATTTATGTAAATTGCTTGCCCAAACACGAGTATTTAGTTTAAAATTAATTATTTTTAACAAACAAATTATTTTTAATAAATTAAATTACTTTTCAAGGGGTGTGGGGGACCCACAGATGAAAAAAGACGAAAATTTTTGTCTTCTTTACCCCAGCATGTTCTATATCATTTTCTAGAGCTCGTTGAGCAGGACATGAATATATATATATATATATATATATATATATATATATATATATATATATATATATATATACATTTATATTATTTTCAGTAACTAAGAAATGGGGGACCGTTAAAGTCGTAATTTTCAGACCATTATTGTTACGGGGTGTTTCTTAAATTTCAATATGCTGTTTTAAAGAACAAATACTGAAAACGCTGACACATAATGTACTTTGTAAGTTGAGTGACGAAAACAAACAAAGGATTTTTCCTATCGCGGTTTGTTGTGCGGAACCCTTGGTGCGCGAGTCCGACTCGCACTTGGCCGGTTTTTATTTTATTTTGTATTTAAATATAAATTAACACAAAAATTTAATATCTGTCATTTAGTTTAAAAAAATGTGCAAAGATCAAAAAGGTACCTACCGATGAAAGAAAAATTGCTGAATAAAACCGACTTGGTGAGAAAAAAACTAAAAAAGCCCCCGAGAATTACGAATTTAACGTTTACTAACAGCACATTTAATAATTGTAAGTTTTAAATGTTTGAGGCGAAGATAAATTTAGGCTTACAAGAGTGGCATCAAGGATTGTCTAAACAACTAAATACTGATCTATTTGCTGCCTGTCCTATCCAAGATTCTGGAGCTTATTATGAACAAGTGATTAATCTGTTACTTTGAATCTCATAAACTGTTATCTTCTTCACAATTTCGCTGCGGGTAAATCAACGGATGACGCTGTTTATGAATTGACCGATTATATTACCACTAACTTGAATAGGAAAAGAAAGGTAATAGCGGTTTTCGTCGATGTCGCAAAAGCGTTTGACACGGTCTCTGTCCCAATCTTGATTTAAAAACTTGAATCCATCGGAATCAGAGGCTTAGCTCTTAGGCTGTTTTCTGATTATCTTTGCAATCGATCGCAGCTTGTTGAAATCGAGAAATGGATTAGCGAGGAGCTACCAGTTACTTTCGGTGACCCTCAGGCCAGTGTTCTTGGTCCAATATTATTTATATTCTATATTAATTATTATGCCAAAACTCTCAAACAGTAAAAAAACAATCGCTGATGACACTATTCTACTGGTTGTCGGGGCACTAACTAACCCTGAATGTCCCAACAACCAAATTCATTATCTTTTCCCTTCGACGGCAGACTCAGTTGGATGATTTTTCTTTGATGGTTCACTCTTGCTTATTTATCAATACCTGCACTTGTCTTAAATTTCTTATTATAATATTTTAATACTATATATCTACTACTAATAGATATTTATATTTCGCTGGAAATAATCAATTCAACGCTCTGCTTTTATTCTCATGTTGAGCACCGAGCTGATAGAGTAAGACAGCTCATTTTCATTTTAAAAACTCTTTGTCATGTTGCAGACTTCCAAATTAATAAGTCAGTATATCTCGCCTTGTGCCAATCAGTATAAAGTTATTGTGATTCATCATAGGGAGGAGCTGCCAAGACAAAAAGCTTACCTTGCGCGGGCACCAGTCTCACACGTTTATTAATGTAATTAGCTATTTAATGTTATTGATGCGACTGTATGTGAAGTGAAAATAAACGTCATTATTAATATTATTAATGTCTCCCATTAAGTTTATTCTAAAATGTATTCTTAAGATCATAAAGGTACTAGCTGGAAATAAAAATCGGCTCAACAAAACTTGTGACTTGGTGAAAAAAATCTAGAAATATCCCAAGTAAAAGTGAGTATTTCACTTTTAATAACAGCACATTTACTAAATGTAAGTTTTAAATGTTTGAGAAGACAAAATAAACTTTGTTTTCACTAACTTCAGTTTTTATATTTAGTAGTTAAAGAAAAGTAGATTTCGCACCTTGCTAATGTGAGTAATATTTTCTCTAGGAGAAGTTTTCAGAGTGAAGTTTTTTCAAGTAAAATTTTTCTTTGGATTTATAAATCAAGCAAATAAATCGATATTGAGATTAATGCTTGAAAATATAATTATAAATAATGTAGCTACCTAATGATAAATTATTTTTCAAGAACGGTTCAGTAGTATGATAGATTATTTGTTACATACATACAACTCTTGCCTCTTTGTAATATTAGTATAGAAAGTTAGGATAATAATATTAAATTAATATAAAATAAAAAAAGAGACCGAAGACCAGAAAACCTGCGACCTGTTTCCGCTTTAAAAGAGAACGACATATTCGTAAATCTATACATTGGGTGATAAATGAGATTGCTATGGTGCTGTACCTAACGCTATGGAAATTTTATTCTGTGCCTTTAGTTTAATTACAATATTTAATTAAGCGATCTAAGGCAGTGGCAGTCCCTGTTGGCATGTCCAAAACAACAGACAGGAATTACTGCTTTCGTCAACCTGCGACATTAACGTCATTGATTGGTATTGTATATAGGTAATTAACAACATTTAAAGTTGGTCTCTGGCATCTACATATTTAGTTTCTGTGAATTATGTGGGTACTAAAACAAATTATGAAACTAGGATATGACCTGCATTTGTGTATATCATAATCCTAAAGCTGGACATTGACATGACAATGCAGCCACTGCCAATTTTAGATAATCAAGGAATAAAAGTAAATGAATTTCATATTTACTCGAAAGAACATAAGCAAAAGATGATTTTTTCAATAAGTACTAGTTAACTACAATTTATCGTTTAGACCACCGCAAGGTTTTTAATAATCCCCGCGATATCAACTCCCTTGCTGAAGTGAAAAGACTGTGGTATATACCGTCTTATAATCCTAACTAAAAAGTGTGGAATAATAAAATCAAAAAACACGACTGCTTAAATATTACTTCAAATAAAAGCTGAAAAGAAAAAAAACAAGTCCAGTAGTTTATAATAATTATATAAATTAAGTAAAATTATTCATTCTTGAATAACTAATGGGTCTCGACGGTTAAATTAGCTTTGTTCCTTACTTAACAGAATTGTAGATTACTGGACTTGACTTGGACTGGACGCCGTGGCGCAGACAGGGTATAGTGTTTAACAGTATACATGTGCGTATGTTCCTTTGTGGCACAGAGACCAAATGCCTGCACCGATTTTGATGATTCATACGCCAATCGATTCGTTTTAATCATGGGAGTGCTACTAAATATGATAGTAAACGAAATATGGGGACAGTTAGGCGCCATATTGCGAGAAAGAAAAAAAATTAGTTGATGAATAATGTCGAGGTCGAATAGGGTATCATTGTCTAGATAATTGAAAATCATGTTTAGGCTTTTTTGACACCATTTTTTCATTTTATGTGACTGTTTAGGATCAACAACGATTTAAAGTTGTATAATAACCACTTGCGCTTTTAATTTCAATCTTACGTTTGTATAGATCTTTTAACTTCAAATATTTCACCCAAAAAAAACTGAATGGATTTTAATGAAACTTAACAATAATAATAACAACAAGTGTCACGTAAGACGAAAAAATATCTGCCATCTGCGAGCCATTTTAGCCTGCACTGCAAAAACAATAAAAGTTAAATGAATATAATGCATAGTGGAAATCTATCTCTTAAATATCTATTTATAGATAGTACAAAAAAGCCCGCCACAGCATATATAAAATATCAAAAATAAAATATTATTTGATATCCATTTCCAAAATGCATATCTTATATCCCGTGTACTGCAACCTACTCACTGCAAAAACACGTCATTGGAAATAGCGATATTTGATTCCTTTAGATGTAGGGTTTACTTTCCCAGACGTGTTCCACTAAGAGGGGTAATACGATATACCTTTTATCGTTGTAGTTATGTTTCCAAATCCCATATAAATTAAATTGCTTATTTTATTTGTAACAGATGCAGATGACTATAATTTTATTGTTTTCAGTCTGAGAAAAGTAGGGTGTGTGAAGACTGCAAGCTCAATTTGTTTTTTTAACTCACTTGCTTTAGCCTTATAGGTTCCGGAGAGGATTTCAGTGTCCTCGTTTATTTTTACTGACACGTCTGCAGCTATATCTACCTCTACCCTGCCACGATATTCTACTGCTTTTGTGTCAGTGTTGAGCCTGAAATGATCAAAGAAAAAATTAATGAAATTCAGATTGTCAAATATCCAAGCGAGTTAGGGCACAGCGAATTTTACGCTCAAATTGGAGTGCCCGTCTGGGGGAAGCAAACCTTCACCTTACAAAAGACCACAGTAAATCACACTACCTTTTGGTGGTGTTATGTTTCAGCTGGTTAGTAGGATTTCAGGGTTCTGCACGATAGAGGATTGGGTTCAGGCCGGCAAGGTGAGGATGGCTGGAGTGGCACACTTTTCGGCACATCATCTATCTTAGCGACTGGACTACGCTTACACTTAGCATCAGGTGGGATGGGGTAATTATAATGTTCATGTCAAATTACAGATTCCTAGTACAAATAGTCTCTGTACTAATCTGTGGAATGAAAGATTTGAATAAGCGTAAGTACACATATAAGGGCACTCGAACCATAAAATATGACGAACACACTTACTTAAAGTCGACCATCTTCTGATTTTTAAATCCTGTTATCTTCATATTCTCAAATTGCATTACAATATCAGTTGCTGGATCAGTATACTCCATCTTTTTTATTTCGAATGGATCTGTAGGTTCCATGTTATAATCTGGCGCTCCAGCACTTGCCTTGGCGAACACATTTATTGTCTGCGTTTTCAAGCATTCTATATCATTGTGGTCACATGACTCTGTAATTCCTGGAAGACATAGAAACGAAATAGGTGTTTAATGACTAATTAATTGATGGGTTGTTCTGCCGCCATGACCATGAGCCAGCACCCTGGTACAGAGCGGAGTTTTGGGTGCAAATATCTGCAGTGCAGATGCAGCTTGACATGAGGGGACTGTAGGATGACGAAACAGATATACGACAGGAAAGTAAATGGATGCAGAAGCCGGAGATGGCCAAGACTCACCTATAAAATGATCAAATTGAATTGCATTTGAAGGCAGGTGATATCAGAAGCCACTGGGAATATATGAAATGGGAACGTATGAATTAACCGTGCCCAGTGGCATTATGTTGTCTCTGCCTAAGCCAACCGGGGCACGACGTACAGATAGTTTTTGCGCACGGGTATATAGATCCATTAGCTGCATAATACCCGAGTCACAATTTTTTTAACTAACCTTCCTTACTGAAGACACAATTAATGAAAACAGAAACCAAGAATATTATGTTTAAACCCATGTTGGAGGAATTCCAAAACCAGAAAGACAACGAAAATGTAAACGCACTTAATTTATATAGGATACATATGAGGTTATTAGGTATGTAGGTTGCTATCTATGCATTTGCATCATTGTATTCACAGGTCAGAAATTTATCAGTTTATTTACATACTTAAATTCTTTTCTTAAAGTTAACCTTTAAAAAATGAAGTGTATAGTCACTAACAAGTAAAATTTCCAAACTGACTTTGAGCTTCATCTCATCTGATATGAGGTTCATAATCGCTTGAATGTGGCACTTTGTGGTAACTTGATGTGATGCTGAGTGTACTCAACGATAATTTGAACGTCAACAACACTGTCCAAATCATTCATTCTCAATTGATTATAAATCTTATAATAATCAACATAAAGCTTAGAGTGAATTGGAAAATTTATCACATTAGATAACCTGTCCTGATATTGACGGATAGTATAGGTACCTTTATCTAAACTTTTTGACAAGGTGACATTAAATAGTAATAAAATGTGAATACGGTGCATTTGTTGAGCTATTTTATTTGTTTTGTGTGGATGTGTGAGGCTGTGCAGGAATTTAAAAATGTGCGTGTGAACTAAGGGGCCAGATGGAATTTCTCAAAATAAAACGAATAATAATAATTTATTTATTCACCCATCACAATTAACACAAAAATATATTAACAACAATTGGCAATAGCATACAGTCCAAATTGTGAGGGACTGGTTCTCAAAATAGGTTTCAGAAGAGAACCGTTACCACAGGTCACCAGGCCCCACCCTCAAACAGTGCAGAGAGAAGCGCAAGTTTCAATAACACTAATTGGTGTAACTTGTGTGAAACAGATGAAAGAGTGAACATTATAACCCAAAAATTAATATGCAGCCCGACGTACAGAGAGACTTATGTTTCTGGTAATTGTTTATATATGTGGTGTGTAGTGCTTGCTTAGTGTATAGTGGTTTTCTTTGTATGTTGAGTGCGTATGTGCAAATTTGAGTAATGTTCAATAAAATCTGTGGCGGATAGTAAGTAGGTATTATTTTAAATAACAGAGGAGTTTTTCTGTCTCATCGTAGTTTTAATATTTAAGGTCTTTAGAAACGACAGTTTTGCAATTAGATTAATTAAGGGAGTAAATTTTTAGGAGGGTGTTAAGATTGTTATACAGGTAGGGCCCAAGAAACAAAACAACTTCTGTGCTAAGATTGTATTTGATATGATATTGTACAGAAAGTTCCATTTCGTCGCTTGTTTTTATTTATTTCGTGAGTGAAGGGAGTTTGAGAATGTTGTTTTCATTTTACTTTCAGGATAAATATTTGCCTTACTGTCAGCTTGTCCCAGTATTAGAAAAGCGTAACAGTCGTAGGAAAGCGATATGGAAGCCCGGCTGCAACCTTTAGGAGTACTCTTTGGCATCTTTCAACCTGGAGCATACACACATGAAAAACAGTTTGAGATCACTTACAAAAGCTGATATATTTTCAAAATTTAACTTAATCATGAGAAAATGTTTACGTTACGTCTTTTTTTATTTCAAAATACACTTTCTGAAATTAAGAAATTAAACTTATTTTATTTTTAGTATACAAAATTTTATAATTCAATCCAAAGGCGATTGTAATAGAACTTTACAGTTACAGACAGTTTAACCAAACTTAAAAACCTTTTCATAATAAATTGTTGTTTATCTAATACAAAATAACAAATCAAGTTATCCAGCATTTCTTGTGGTAACCTGTCCCATTATTGAACAGCAGGTTCTCTGAGCTGCGGCACTGTCGGTGGTGGTGGCTGCCGGTTCCAAACAGCTCGCTTATGAGCATCCCACGCGTGCTCTATTGGGTTTAAGTCAGAGAAGCCGGCAGGCCAGTCTTATCTTGTGATTTCGTGTTCTCGGAGAGCAGCATTGACTCGTTGAGCTCGATGTGAGGGCGGATTATCGTCAACCAGTACAAATTGGTGTCCATGGTTTACTCGGAAAGGTTTGACGATTCCATCAATGGCGACTGTTTTGTATCTGTCTGCCGTCATGAAGCCTTGATAAGGGATTAAAGGCATTCTAGCTCCAATCATAATACCACCCCAAAACGACACTGATTTCCCGCCTTGCTGAACGGTTCCAGTAGCCGTTCTTGGCCTTTCAGAGTCTCCGGGTCATCTCCAAACACGAAAACGCCGGTTATCTGGATGAGTACTGTTTCGCGACTTGTCAACGAAGAGGCAGTTTTTATCAAATGTTTTCCTCTTCGTGTTCTTCGTTTTGCCGGAGACTAACCCACTGTAATCTCCGTCGCTGACGTTCCCGTAAATTCAAAGGTGCTCGCCAAGACCTCTGTGCTCGTAATCCAGCCATGTGTAAGCAATTCCGAATGGTATGATTGCTAACTTCAAGTCCGGAGGTGGCCCGTATTTCTGCTTTTAATTTAGTGGCGTTTATTGTTGGTTCGCGGGCTACCAGCAACCTGATGTTACGCTTCTGAGCAGCTGTCAAAACGGTTGGGCGACCGCGGTGGGGTCGACCAGCTAAATTACCCATGCCGTGGTACCTCTGCAACATGGGTACTACACAGGATTGGGATATGGCAACTCTGCGTGCTATTTCTCTCGTAGGATAACCTTCTACCCTCGAAACTACAATTCTGGCTCGTAAAAAATCTAATAATCCTCGTGGCATTTTTAAATCACAACTTTCCGTTAAAAAATATATCAAATTACTTTTTTTGATGTGTGTATGTGTTTTGGCTGATCTACCCCATACAGAGACACAGTATTCCAGCAGGGATTGGCATAATGCGCTATACACTGTTTTGATAATACATCGATCCGCAACATGTCAACATGTGAATAATAATAATAATAAATTGTTTATTTCTTATCACAAACATTTTGGCATTGATAACAATTTTTAAATATTTGATTACATTAAAGTTTGTGTGAGGCTGATGCCCGTGCTAGGTAAGATATACCTGTGTTACAGGTATCAGGCTTCCACCACCTCGCATTGCTAATGTTGGTTAACAAATAAGATAAATATGAATATTATTTTACAAAGTTTACTAATATTAATTGTCACAGGTTAAATAAAAGAGTGTTTTGAAAAAAAGTCTATGCAGTATTTGTGTGTATTTGGTGTGAGTGTGTGTGCTTTCGTGTGTAAACGTGAGCGTGAATTTAGTTATTGTGTGAATGTTATGATAAGTGTAAGACAGACGGCTGATATTTTTGCGCTATGTTATGCTGTGGTGAGCAATTGGTCTTGTGTCTTAAGCTAACATATGAGCTCATGGCAGCTTAGTTTTACAACCCCTTTTGGTCATTGAATAGAAGGAAAGAATTGTGTTCAATTTATTGTAAATGTAAGTACCCATAAAGCAAAATAATCTTTTTGAGTGCTTAGTTTTTAAAGGCCGAGTAGGTCAAACAGTGCCCTTACGCCGTCCGCCATTTAGAGCTTTTTCTATCAAAATAAAGCTAAGAGTGCTTACCGAAAACAGTTGATAGTATATAGAGCTGACGGATAATAAGCACCTCCCAAATCCTGTAAACTTGACTCGTGGGATAAAGAATTGGAAGTGAAGCACCAACTTTCAGTACAAGCCTTTGCGCTCTTTCTACTTTGATCAGATGTGTCTTTGCAGCTCCTCCCCATGAAATACAATAACTTAAGATTGATTGCATTAGGCGAGATAAACTGATATAATAATTTGGAAGTCCGCAACATGACGAAGAGTTATAAAAATGCAAATGAGCTTCCTTACTCTACCAGCCAGGAGCTCAATATGGGGATAAAAGCTGAGCGCTGAATCTATCATCACATCGAGATATTTAATATTATCTGTTTTTAGGAGTTAAGAGCAAGCGCAGTTATTGCTAGATAAGCAAGAGTGAACCGTCAAAGAGAAAACATCATGTTGAGTCTGCCGTCCAGAAGAAAAGGTAATGAATTTAGTTTTTGCGACATTCAGGGTTAATGGGTGCCCCGACAATCAGTTAGTCACCACATTCAGTCCTTCATGTGCTTGATGAAAAACCTCTTTTAACGAAACAGCGTGAAACAGTAGAGCAGTGTCATCAGCGAACGCTATTATTTTACCGTTAGAGAGTTTCAATTGGCATAGATTATTAATATATATTAAAAACAACGTCTGTCCAAGAAAACTGCCCTGAGGGACACCAAAAGTAACATGTAGCTATTCGCTAATCCATTTCCCGACTCTAACAAGCTGTGATCGATTTCAAAGATAATCAGAAAACAATCCGATAGCTTTAAGTTTTTGAATCAAGATTGGGACAGATATCGTGTCAAACGCTTGCGCGAGATCAAGGAAAACTGCTTTCAACTTTCTCTTCCCATCCAAGTTAGTTGTAACACAATCGGTCAGTTCATGAACAGCATCATCCATTGATTTACTAGCACGAAATTCAAATTGTGAAGAAGATAACAATTTGTGAGATTCAAGGTAACATATTAAGCGCTTGTTCATGATACGCTCCAGAATCTTGGATAGGACAGGCAGCAAAGAGATCGGTCTATAATTGTTAACACAATCCCTGGCACCACTCTTGTGTATTGGTATGATGAGAGATTTCTTAAAAATCACTCGATACACAAGTTACAAATGAATGTTATAGGTGTTATCAAAAGGTCCATATAACGTTTGATGAAGCGACCCGAAATCTGATCAACCCCTACTGTGCAGCTTGATTGTAGCCCCTGAATGAGACTCTTTACCTCACTTTCATCCGTGGGACTAAGAACAAAGGACTCGCGAGAGGAGGTCAAAGTGATTTTCTTTAAAGGGGTACCCTGCATCTTGGCGGCAAGAGCTCTTCCGACATTAGCAAAAAACGAATTACACTATTTAAGCTACCCTGAGGGTCGTCCTTTGCGATGAGGTTCATGGGGTCATTTCTATCCTGATTGAAGTGTATTTTTAATGATCTCCCAGATCTTCTTACTATTCTTGCCAACCCTAGGGATTTCCGCTTTATCATGAGCTCGCTTAACCTTTTATGTAAGGAATTACAGAAATTTCTGTATCTCTTGTAGGTTGAAACCACAATCCATTGATCGGTGTTATCCAGGTTTTGATGACACTTTGCCGACGACAAATATTTATATTATTGCTATTATCTTGAATTGCATTTTAGAGAGCACTTATCAGAAAAATCGTGGCGTCATTATGGTTGTAAATTGTATATAACTGTTCAAAGTTCAGGTTTTTCATCGCAACGTCAAGTTTGGGGTAGTTAATTTGAGTTTTCTGCTTCTGTGCTTTTGTCTGTCTCTTCTTGCTTCTGACGGGGGAGAAGGGGGGGACTCCTCCAATAGCATCAAAGTAAGTGCAGCACTGTCATGATCAGTAATAGACGACTGAATGACGAAACTACTTGCCTTTGAAGATACTTTAACCATTATATGATTAATACAAGTGCGACCATGCGTCGGAAAAATGCGGCATAGATGGATATCAAAGGTTGCCAGAAGATCAAGGTAATCCCATGAACGCGAGTCCCTACTGCCTGATACTATATCGATGTTAATATCGCCAATCAAAACTATATTTTTATGATGTGAATGCTGTGTGCTGTGAGACTACAGTATCAAGTGAATTTAGAAAAACCTGGATATTTCTTTAGCCTGGAGGTCGATATATTAGCAATAACAACAGTCGAGCTGTTGATTGTTACAAGTAGACAATTTGCATGGTTGAATTGTGGTTCTTCTATAGTGGGATTGAGATGTTGTTTGTAATAAACAATAACTCCTTCATTTTGGGTCAGATTACTTTTAGAAGTGGCATAATTATATCCATCTATCCGTGGGATAAATTTTGACGACGGTAGCCAACATTCAGTTAAGATAAGTAAATACCAGTTAATTTCAGTCCTGAATAAAAGTTTTCTAAAATTATTCGTTTCTTTGGTTTTCACGCACTTCACTCATTAAATAAAACTAGTTTTAACGGGTTAATGCACGAACTTCATTTATTTAACGCGTTAAAACTAGTTTTATTTTGTTCTAAAATTGTCAAAGTTACAGGTATAGAATCTTGGAGATCTCTGGGTCACTACAGAAGGCTGGAATCGTTTCAAATTCGTCCAAATTTTAGTTTATCAGATAACAATCAGGATTAAGATAATCAAATTTTATTATAAAAGGTCAATGAATAATGCTGGTGCAGCACAATATGTAATTTTGGTGTCGAGATATAATGTTTGGAATGTATAGTAGAACAAAATCTTTAAATAGACAGTAAAACTGCTGAAGACTTTTGAAGTAGCAAATATCGAACTCAATCTTCCGTAAATTTTATAAATAATCAGTAAACAAGCAAGCCCCTATCGTGTCCTTCATAAGTGTTATACTCAGGTTTGAGTAGTAAATCTGAATTGGATTGAAAAGTGAGTGATGATGAAAGTAGTAATTGCGTAGTGTTGATAATAATGTAAACTGTATATAATTTGATCGGTAAATAATTAAGGCATGCCAGATACTATAATAATACATTGATAAAAGTACTAGGAATCTCATAGATAATCATTCTTTCCATAATTTCTTCAGGTCCTCTTCATTTTCAATGCGTATTGAAGGTAGATCTTTTTTTTCCCTCAAATATATCTTACCATAACTAGTCCATCGGTGCTCGTAATTTTTGTTTTTAGCAAAATCTCTTGCCAATACGTCGAGCTTCCTACATTTGTAAGTATATTGCACAGATCATTGATGTATACTAAATAAGGTCGGGCCTATAGTACTACCCAGTAATCAATTTTAACATGCTGATTTCTATTGGTTAAGTCATCCTCAAAAAGTTTGAGAGGCAGATCTCTTTTTCCGAGCCTTTCCAGCTTGGATGAGGGATTGATACCATGTGAAACGCTTTTGCAAGGTCGAGGAAAAGCACAATGTATTTCCTTTTACCCTCACCCAAAAACTTTGTGAATTTGTAACATTATTCACATTGTATTTCAGTCATAGGCTTTTATCAGTTTGTGTGATAACTTCTTTTCAATAATCTACCAAAATCATCTGAGTGACTGATCTGGCTTGTGAAATTTTGGATCCGCTAGATCCAAATACATAGATGAGGGCCAGGTATCATGTGAGAATGTACATGACGGCAACGATGAAGTGAATTTATTAAGCACACATGCATTTACTTAAAATATTTTACCGTTTATGGACTGTGTTTTTAAGGTAACCATAGACTTTGTTGTTACCACTCCTGAATTCGGAATTTCAGAGATTTTGCTAACAAAAGGAGTAGTAATCCATAGGAGGAAGAAGTAATCCATCATTTGTTTCCACCTCTAAGTTGACGTTGTAATTACAGGAATGTTGAAGGGAACACTATTTTTTATATATTATGTTAAGGTTCTGTAGCATTAGGGTTTAAAGAAAATTTTACTAGAAAATAAAACCACGCGGACCAGGCAACCGCTCCGCTTTCCAAGTGGATGCACTGACCATTATGCTACCGCACAGCAGCATATTTTCAGCACATTTTTTTGAATTCTCAAGTAATTTCTCAATCTTAGATGAATTCTGAATCGTTATAGCCACATGTTGTTTTACAAGTTGATTCCCTATCTAGTAATAAATAAGTATTATATGATCGTTTTTTGAATGAGGAGTAAAAATAGTTCTTCCAAGTGCTTCCGACCGTGCTTCCAAGGAATGAGCGTAATACGATCAGGTCTTTTGCCATCGTCACGGAAGATGGCATTAGGCTGTGGGATTAAATAAATAAATATACCCAACAAGTAAAGTTTACCCGCACGAAGTTGTGGGCGGCTGCTAGTTTATATTATTATTAGGACTAGCGACCGCCCGCGACTTTGTCCGAAAAAACATTAGTTTTTTGTGAATCCCACAGGTATATCAGTTGGCGACAACAAAAGTCGAAAGCCTGCAAATGTATCCCACATAGCCTGTTTTTAAAATTTGCCATATTTTTTTAGGTAACGAAGATTGTCTAAGACGTCTTGTATGGTTTAAAAGTTCTAGCGTCATTTAATGCATTATTTGTTTTATACTACTACTATAGTGCAGCAAAAAGTCTAGCATCTAAGGGTTACCTTACATAAATAAGTTGTTGGGTACTTATAAAGAAGGGATTGATAAAGAAAGCGGTATTAGTATGTACTAAATTCTAGCTTCTTTTCTCTTGTTAGTATAGGATATTTTTAGGCACATCTTCTTTACTTAGTTTTCTTTTAATTTTGGATCAAATGCTGGTAATTGGTGTTGCCTGCATCTTCCTGCTTCACCTGGTATGTTTATTCGTGAAAAGATAAATGTGGAATCAATTTTAATTAACTAGCAGTAAAACATTAGAATGAGTTACATCTACATTATAATAAACTGTATAATATATTTATTGTGATACACGGGTAATAGGGTCCTTAACTTTCTAGGTTGGAATGATATTTCTAATAATATGAGACTAGAAAGACAAACTGACAGGCAGGTTACAGAAGAGACGGTTCAAACTTTTATGGAGGGTGATAGTAAGTCTCCGGAAGATTCTAAATTTTTATTAGATGTAGTGCACTTAATTGTAAATTAAACAATATAAATTAGAATCTATTTCTTCTTATTTATCCCTTTTCTTTAAAAATATTTTTTATAATACAAAATTATATAATTATTGATTGGCTAATGGAAAGTTCATTTATGTTACCAAAGGATCAAAATATTCTATTTAATAAGGCAGTGATAATTATTCTGTTCAGCTTTCATCACATTATTAGGTATTTTGTGTGTATTTCATTTCAAGATGAATCAATCATAAATAGGCTAGTCGACTCATGTCGAATTGTATTAAATAAATCTTAAAGTATTTGGTCTAAGGAACCTAAATATATCAATTTCACTTCATAAAAGCAGAAGATTGCAGTAGAAATTAATTTTATAAAAGAATTAATTTTTAGTCTATACTTTTTAAACACAAAAAACGCTGTTCACCACTTCCGCCATGGTTGTGACGTCTCTTTGGTAGTAAACAACTAAATGCCATTCGCGTGTTACTGTTATTTTGTACTGCATATAATTTTCCATGTCATTTTCCAACTGAAAGATATGTAACGAAAGAATTTTAATATTTATTATGCACATTGATATAGTAAATACATAACCTTAAAACTTGTATTATTAAAACTGATAATAAACGAAGAGATAGAGAAGAGAGATTTAAAATTAATTGGTGATAAATAAATAATTAGAAATATCTGTTTATGTTATAATATAAAACAAGCTTTCAAATGATATATCTATCGTCGAAACCGACTACCACTATTGAACCACCTCTTTTACTATAATCATAATTATATTCATGCCCAACTTAATTCGTTAATGTAGAATACATATATTTGTTGCCATACTTACATCTTTCATTTATGTCCGTTTCACTTTCATTTAAAAGAGAACCTTTATTCTACTTCAATGTCTCTTTTTTCTTTATAGTTACAGCATTGTAGACAGACATACATAGATAAAGACACACTTACAGGCAAACGGTCGACTAGTTTCATATTAAAATTTGTAGAATTAAGGAAGGATATGGATGAAACGTAGATTAACTTTAGAAAAACAATTGAGTAATATAAATTATAAGTTTATTATTAGATATTTATTAAAATGCTATATTTTAATTATACCAAGCGTTATTCTTATAAATATCAAACTCGGTCTTGATTGAAGTCCAAACAAAGCAATTATAAAATTCTCTCCTTTTTTATAAATCTTTAAAGAATGCTGTTTTTGGTTCTGTATCAGTAATAGTTCGAAATTGCGCCAAGACATATTTATATGCTTCCGTAATAATTGTGCAAACAGGCTTTTGTTTAATTTCCGTTGCTTTTTTAAGATAACCAGCTCTTTTCGCATTTGCATCTGGATCTGAAATAATAACTTTTTTATTAGTGAGTTTTAATTAAAATACTTATATAACCAGGCTATGACATTTATTTTGCTATAACTTTAGAATTTTGTACATCGGAAAACTTTTCGTTACGCAGGTTCCAAATTTGTCTTTTGTGTGCGTATAAATGTGTATGTAGAATACAACTGCAACTGAATGAAATAATGAAGTTCTCATTATAGTAGCACGATTTTCTCTTTGGACATAATCAAGTGACATTGGGCCATAACACGCGAGCTTAGACCAGATTGGGCCAACAGTAAGCCTACACTAATACAGCACTACAAAAAAGTGTTACCTGGCTATTGTTTTCTGTAAGATGGGAATTTATTTGTATGTATACAATTTTTCATATGAAAGTATACAATATTCCTGTGTGCTGTAGCTACATTCTAAAAATTGTTAGTACTCACCTTTTGCAACAGTATTAGAATGCTGTAAATCGATAATAACTTCTGGTACTCCAACAGGCTCACAGCTGATGGTCTCAGGACCGATAGTATAATGCTCGATCCCGTCACTGCCTACAGTAAGACTGTAAGAGTGCCATACAACTTCGACAGAGGCTGCAACATAATATATGATTAGTAAATGAGTATGGAGACTCAAACATATCCCCGCGCCGATCAGTCCTGCGCTAAAAAATCCAAAAACACCAGCTCATCGTTCCAAGACAATGTTCCAAATATGAAATAAAATTTACTATATATGTCATAACCATGGAACAAATACCAAGATGAGAAGCTCTATAGGGGTTTGCTTGCGCGTGTTGTAAAAACCGGACTCGCCCGTTGGACTCTTGGATAAAATGCCATACCGTACACAAAATACTACCGTAAAGCTGATTAAAAGAAGAATCCACTACAGAATATTTGGATCATAAATCGATTAAATATAGAGGGTAGAACTAACCACAACGTCAATTTTAAATTATTCTATTAACAAATCTTCAGGTTCGGTTTATGATTTTCAGATCATTTTTCTCTTGAGAATCTTTTTAAATTATGAAATCCTGTATTATCACAATTATACATGTCTGGATATATAAAATAGCAACAAATACTACGCATTATTCAAGATTTCTTTTTTCAAAATCAGATAAAGCCGGTCTGGTAATACTAGGAGGTTACAGATGGTGTAAGCTCTCAAAAAAAAACATCCGTAAGCCAAGCAAAGCTATTTTTAGTCGTAATTTTAAGAAATAGCGAGCGTCGCGGACATTTGCATGTGGTAGCTATAGCTACCATGGACTATTGAGGCATAAACGCGTTTGGTAGCTATAGCCACCATGGACTGTTGAAATCCACTATTAACCAAATACTCAGCAATTCAGGATTGCTGAGTATTTACGTTTCAACAACGTGGGACTTGTTTTTATCCGTTAAGGCTGCGATTAAGCTTATACACTCGTTTGCTTCCGTCATCAAAACCTTCAGTTTCCTTAACGTAAATCTTTTTCTTTACAGTTTCACTAAAGAGGGCTGTTGCCACGGCAATTTGGCGTTAGGTTTTCTTTTGCAGCAATAGCAATAATTGCCCGTATTGTGCTGATGTTGTGCCACAGGACTTAATGTCTTATCGTTGTCGACGCCTTGTTGTTGAGAATACACTTTGACAACTACTTATGTTCTAAACTTGTCAACAGAGCCGTCAGCTTTCCTTTTTAATTTATACACCCATTTGCAGGGTAGTGCTTTTATTCCTTTAGGTAATTCCACTTATTCCCATTCAGAGAATTAATATTAAATTGATTCAGAGATTTACTTTACATAGCTTTCAGTCAGTTTTCTTTACAAGGTGACTTCAATGCTTGTTTGTAAATCACTGAATCCTTAGGTAAGTTATGGATTTCAGCAACAGTAGCAAGTATGAATTCATCATACCGTTACAGCGGTTGTATTGCTGATCTGCTTTTTAAATTGTAACAATTCGTTTCAGGTTCGGCTCCATTATCATGTCCAGCTTCATTATCATGTGCAGAGATATGGTCATGTTCAGAAATGTCATATTACTCCTCTTCGTTAAATACTTCTTGAAAATTTTCATTTCAATGGACTGGGTGTTTAAATTTTCAATGGACTGGGTAGAATCTGGACCAGCTACGTCATTTTCAGCAATATCGTTCTGTTGCATGTCATTATGGAAATGTTCAGTTAGATTTGCATAAAAGTTTGGTTTTATAACTCCCACGTCTTTGGAGATAAGTACATTACTTTTGGATAAAACGTATACTCTAAAAGCCTTGCTGTTGTCCGTTTATCCAAGAAAGTCCTGGAATTGCCTTGTAGGCGCATTTGGGACCTCTAGGACCTTTTTTCAGAATAAAAGCTTTTGCTCCAAACGGATGAAGGTGATAGCTACCCATTTTTCGCAAGATGATTGATGATCAGTGGCGCTATTGAAGGTTCTGTTACAGATATAGTTGGCTGTGCTGACCGCTTCTGGCCAAAGATGCATTGGAGCTTTAGCATCGACGAGCATCATTCTTGCTTTCTCTACTAAAGTTCTGTTTTTTCTTTCCGCCAAACCGTTTTGTTGGGGAGTGTAAGGTGAGCTTAGGCACCGAACTATTCCACTTTCACTAAAGCAATCATGAAATTTTTTGTTAAAGCATTCATTTTCGTTGTCCGTTTGCAAATGTTTAATTTTGTTACCCGTGAAGTTTTCCATTTCTTGTTTGTATGCTTTCTAAAAACTCGAGCATATCTACCATATATAGTCATCCATGAGAACGTGACAAATTCCTCATCATACTTCCACAGACCACAAACGTCGCTGTGCACAATTTCGAATCGCTCTGTAGTTGTAGGAGAGTTTCGTTAGGAGGACTTGGTACTTCTGTCATTTTTGATTTCGCAGTCTGACAAAGTCGCGGCTTTATAAAAAAATATCCAACCAAAGCCTCGTTGTTGAGAGAGCTATGTATGTATGTATATGCCCAAGTTTCCTGTGCCAGTCTTGTATAGTCTTACTTAACATTCATCGAAACAGGTACTCCAGGTTTAGCCGGTGACGATGCTGCGTAGCTATGTTAAATTTGAGGGGCTTTTACGTATTTAAGACCACTGTACTTGCATTTTTGAGCAGTCAACAGTAGTTCATTCTTTCTGTTACGTATAATAGAATCATCGTTCTTGAATGTTACTAGAGCTTCGTGTTCTGTAATTTTTGGTACCGATAGAAGATTTACAGAGAGTGACATACAGAGTGTTTTCAAGATAAAATTTCTTTCTGTGTTTGTTTAAAATTATGACCCTGCTTTCACACCTGATCTCAGTGGCGTGATATTCAGATGTAAAATTAAATTTTCTTGAAGTTGGATTCATTTCTTCGAACTGTTGTGACATATGTGAAGTGCACCCGCTGTCCAGGATCCAATCTTTTTGGTTGTCTAAAGCTAGAATGCATGCTTCATGTGCATAGTGAGAAGTATTAGTTTTAGGTGGCTTTTTGTTTGTTTTTTTTTTCAGCATGACGTACATATTTTATGTGGCTTTTTCTCTGAAAGATTCTACTCCCCGTCTTCTTACAGATCTTGCAAGATGCGAAGAGTGCGTTTTCTTCTTCTTTAGGATGTTCCAGATCGACCTCGACGCTATCGTTGTTTAGATGACGAGTCACTCTCCTCAATTATTTTGATTTTTAATTCATCAGCTTTTAGTACGTCACGTGACTCAATAGCAATACGAAAGTTTTCGTAGTCCGACGAAATACTGTACAACATTATGATGGTCAGTAAGACCTCGTTTATGTTTATGTCCATTTCTGCTAGATTGCCTACCGTATCCATAAATTTGTTTAAATGCGTACGTACGTCGGATCCTACGAGTTTTGTTAGTACAAGTTGTTTGCTAAGGGTGGCTTTGCGCGCAGGTCCTTAACTCGTGTATTTTTTTTTAATTTATTTCACAGTGGCTTTGCAGAAGCGCAATTTTTGATTTCTCTGAGTTGGGAGGGGCTCATAATCAGGATAAGTTCGAGCAAATTGCAAGCCCCATCAAAGTTGCACCAGTATCGGAAAACACTACCTTCACTGTTGTTTTTTCTTTATCACCTCATTCTTTTCTTTAACTTTCATTATGGCCTTCGGAGCTGGAATGAGATCTAACTAATCGTGCCTGATGCATGCTATAACATCCTGAGCTTGCACGCTGCTGTACGTGCCACTTTTTTCTAAGTCAATATTTAGATCTTCATCTACCTCTAGTTTATTTTAAAATCATCCTCTTCAAAATCTCCATCTTAAAGAAATTCTTGTTTTATTTGCTCATCTAAAATATTAATGCAGCTGCCCTTTATTAAAAAAATGGGTGCGTGTACTTATGTAGGCGCGTGAGAAGTTATCCTTCTTTGGCATCGTTTATAATTAGTTTTTAATTGCATGCAAATAATTAATTACAATAAATTAATAAAAAGTCTGGAAAAGGACACAGTCAATAAAGTTCAGTTTTAATTTGAAAAAATAAATAAATAATCAAAATATTCAATTAAAATCGCTACTGAATATAATTAATTAGAACATATGTGATTTGCACTTGTATGAAACTCAAACACGTATTCCGAATATACAAACTAGAAACATGTGGATAAATATTATAAACATGAATACCTATAACTGTTACTTTATTACAAAAAATAAAGATGTGGTTTTTGGTTCTACTACACCAAAGGTCAAGAGATGGCGCTGTAGTCTCCTGAATCGCGCTTTGGTTCCGTTGTTCCAGATTTATAAATACTTTTGATATTATAAATATGAATACCTATAACTGTTACTTTATTACAAAAAATAAAGATGTGGTTTTTGGTTCTACTACACCAAAGGTCAAGAGATGGCGCTGTAGTCTCCTGAATCGCGCTTTGGTTCCGTTGTTCCAGATTAATAAATACTTTTGATAGGCCTTCACAATGCAGTCGTTAGCACCCACTAAATAGAGATTCTATTTCTATTTTGTTGGTAGATTTTCTTAATGTGCGGTAAACACAAAAGTAACAGCATGAAGTTGGTCGCTAAAGCTAAAGCGACCAACTTCATGCTGTTAATTTTTGTGTTACAGTGATGCGCGCGCATCTTAAAATTTCACTCTCATCATTTTTTCATAACGCGCCTAAAGAAGTATAACTTCAAAAAAATTTTTTTTTACTTCCCTGAGCCTATTTGTTTCACCGGTTTCTGCTACTTCATCAGCAGCTTTAGTGAATTGGCTTCTTGCCACAGTTTGCAATTTTTTAATTTTCTCCATTCTGGTTGCTGCTATTGTACACGATTTCCGTTCTGTAGTCTTATTTATTTATCCCCGTACTATTTAAATGAACGGTCGACATTTGACTTCTTAATTAAACACGAAAATTTTGAAATGATTAAATTTTACATTATTTTACTTATACTTTTATTTTAACGATATATAAAAGACAATTGACAACATCTAAGACAAATCTAACTAACTATGTTTATGAAAAACAGAATCGGCTAGAGCTGCAGTCACAGACATAGTTCTATGGTTGCACTCGACATATATGGTTTATTAGGACATTGGTTCTTTTAATGTTTGCAATAAGGTTACTGTTTCAGAATCTTTTAAAGCGTGGGTGTAGATAAATGTCTTAACATAATTGTCAATTTTCTGAGTCTATGTCTATGTTAAATACATTTGATTATTCAACTTACTTGCTTTAGCCTTATAGGTTCCGAAGAGGTTTTGGGTTGCTTCGTTTAGTTTTATTGACACGTCCGCTGCTATATCTACTTCAACCCGCATGCGATATGCTACAGCTTTTGTATCAGTGTTCATCCTGAAAATATCAACGTAAAAAAATATTATATTGTGATTTCCAAATGTGACGTTGAAGTACTGGTGTAGCTTCCTTACGGTGAATGAATTTCCGAAATTGGTTCAGTATTTTGAGAGATTAATTGTTACATACATACAACTCTTGCCTCTTTATAATATTAATATAGATAATTAGGATAGTAATATTTAATTGATGAAAAAGATTTAAAAATAAAATAAGTAGATAAGGGGTTTATATGATTATATTTGTAAAAGTTACTTAGCTTTTTTGGTAAATGGTGATTCGTTATTCGCTAATTTATATATACTTATTATTATTTTGTTTATAAGTAGAATAAATGGAGATTGCTCAAATTGGCCCAAATGTACAAAAAATATTGACATATACGGTAATACTTGGCGTAATTTATACTTTATTTTACAGTCATTAGATTTTAACGGACACCTTTGTATAATATATTAATTTTAAAAAGGACTTTTAATTTTACCGGTTTGGAAAACATACGAATCATTTTTAATGGCTATGGGTGTAGTAACATTCAGCCAAAGACTGATCGAAGTTGTTTATATAACATCAAAACAAATCAATTTTGTAAAGATCGATAAATAAAACATTTTTTTTATTACACTGTGGTATTAATATCCACATCTATATTATTATTTTCACTACATGCAAATGTGCTAAGACAATTATTATAGATGGAAGGCGACATCATAAAGTCTATTGACATACATTTTTCGCCAAACACCTCTATAAACACATTATAAGGCGTGATAAACTAAAAATCTAAAATATGGTTATAATATAAACATTACAAAAATAATGAAGCAGATATGGTTGTATAACCTTAATCTCCTAACTTTCTTTGGTTAACGACAGTTTAAAGATTCTCTCTTCTTCTTCTTTTATTATGCCACGATGGTTAAAAAACTCTCTAATCTGTGGCTCATTCTCAATCATCACACAGTTTCTGTAACAGACTACCTTATTATAACCGGAAATGCATAGATGATACCTGATTTTAAAAGTTACTCTTGTGCATTAACTGTAAAAACAGGCAACTATATGTTAATCTACATGCTCTATATACCTAAATCTAATACATAATTTCGGGACTTGGCTTCATTTCCTTAGTTAACTATATAACTTATTTGTTTTTATTATTTTAATACCTATGTACCGATTTGCAATAATAACCTCAAATTCATTCAGTGTATATGAAGTGGTTTATAGAAGTTCTCAGGGGTGTCCGTCAATAATATTCGTTTCTACAGTAATTTATTTATAATTTCGAATCTAGGAAACAATTTTTCATGATTATTGGTCTTTAGGCCAAACATGTATGGAAGCTGAGCAATCTCCTTTGGAAAATAATTGCTATGATTGCGTCATTTGCAATACCTACTAGGCCTGTAGCAACGACAAACATCTAAATCTATACATTGGGTGATAAATTGATTTTAAGTAAGATTGCTGTGGTGCTGTACCTAACGCTATGGAACTTTTAGTTTAATGGAATATTATAAACTTTTCCTTGGTGATTGTATAATTTTTAATTTAGCGATCTGAGGCAGGTGCCACCAGTGTCCAAAACGATAGACGGGAACATTAACGTCATTGATAAGTATTGTATATAGTATTTTATTTATATTTTCATTTTTATATAGTATTTTTAAATGTTTGAAGTTATCCTCTGGCACCTACATATTTGGTTACTGTGAATTGTGTAAGTAAAAAAAAATATGAGACAAGGATATACACTGCATTAGTGTATATCCTTGTCCATCCTAGTTGCATGCAGCCACTGCCAATTTCAGATAGACGATGAAAAAAAGGTAATGAATTTTATTTTTACTACTAAAAAGATAAGCAAAACATGATTTTTGAATAAAACTTTCGGAAAATAAGTACTAGTTCAGTATATAATTTACATGCGTTAGATATACAGGTAAATACTTGATTTAACATCACAGATTTTCGCGAAGTTTTAAAAAAAAAATTAGGCCCATGAGGCCTTGAACCTGGTGGTAAGGTGTCTTATTAAATTAATCGTTTAGACCACCGCAAGCTACTTAATAATCCCCGCGATTATAACTCCCTTACTGAAGTGACAAGACTGCGGTATATGCGTCTTATAATCCTAACTAAAAAGTGTAAAATAAAAAAGCTAAATTTAAAGGAACAAAAAATCCGACTGCTTAATATTACTTCAAATAAAACTACTAAGTCTATAATTCTGTTAAGTAAGGAACAAAACTACTTTAACAGTCGGGACCCATTTTTGAAAAAAAAATGATGCATCCTTGAATATCTACTGGGTCCTGCAGTTAAAGTAGCTTTGTTCCTTACTTAACAGAATTACAGACTACTGGACTTGTTCTTTTCTTTTCAGTTTTTATTTGACGTAATATTTAAGCAGTTAGGTTTTTTGATTTTTTAAATTTAGCTTTTTTCTCGTCTATGATCATGATCTCTGGTCATTATGTAGCCTGAGGCCTGCAAGAAAAAATACCGCAGCAAAAGTGCCACAGTGCATGCTGCTGGGGGTGACAGTATTCTTGAAAGCTTGCTTCCACGCCGACTATTGAATAATGTACCTATTTTATTTCTTAAGAACTGTTTATCGAGACTGTCATGTTAGGTATTGTTTCTACCGAAACTAAAAATATGCTTTATTTAATTCTAAATGGCAAATTCGTTTGCGTTTATCCGCTGCACGTGGTAGTTGTTAAAAATCAATAAAACATTTTTTTAATTTAAATATATGACTAAAAACACTGATATGAGTTTTATTTCAAATATTATCATGAGACAACAGACAACTCGTCTTGCTTAATAATAAATAATTATTGTAATAACTTGCATAAAAATATTAATTTAATTAAGAAAAATCCCAAACAATTAAAAGAAAATGTAAACTTGATCAACCTGATGCATATAAATATTCAAGGAATGATTGGTAAGGACTTAGAAATTGAATTATTTTTGAATTGTAACAATATAGATATATTTTGTATCACAGAGCATTGGCTTTAAAGTCATCAATTTATCTTTAATTTTAATAATCATCAGGTTAGTAGTTCGTTCAGTCGAGAAGATGCGATTCGCGGTGGCTCTTTAATTTTATTAAATAAGGCACTTAAATTTAAGGAACGTAAAGATATTGTGAGCCTCTCGGTTGAGCGAACAATAGAGATTGCCTGTGTGGAACTGGACCAGCTTGTTGTATTGAGTGTATACAGACCTCCTTCAGCATTGTATGATTCTTTTGAAACTATTATGGATGAAGCTTTAGAAAAAATTGTCAAAACTGGTAAACGATTAATTGTTTGTGGTGACTTTAATATTAATCTATTAGAAACCTCTAATTTGAGTATTAAATTAAGAAATCTATTTCAATCATATAATCTTGAAAACTTGTTCATGGAGCCTACTAGAATAACTGCCACTTCGGCCACTTGTATTGACAATATTTATACGGATATAATACCACATTCAAAAGTAATTGTTAATCAACTGGATAGTGATCATTGTGGCATACTTTTCCACATCCAAATAAAAATATCACCAAGAAATATATTACTATTGTGCCAAAATCTGTTAACCGTATAGAGCGTTTTAAAATTCAATTAGATAGGAGTTTGAGTTATTTAAAGTATAAATGTAGTCCAAATGATATGTATAATGATTTTTTTAATAATTTTTGTAAAGAATTTAATGATGTCTTTGTTCCTAAAACCATATGTGTTAGTGATGCAGTAACTTTCAGCGAGTGGGCCACCCCAGGCATACATAAAAGTAGAAGGAAACTTTATGAACTTTACAATGAACGCAGCATTAATACTAGTGAAAGTTTCAAAGAGTACGTACGTAATTATTCAAAGTTATTTAAAAAAGTATGTCGTACAGCAAAATCAAATTATTTAAGTAGTAAGATTAAGAATAGTAATGACAAAATTAAAATGACTTGGAACATTATAAACAATGAAACTGTAAAATCTAAAACTCGAAATACTAGTTTTAATTTAAACATTGAACATAGAAATGTTACATCAGATGTTGAAGTTGCTACAGCATTTGAGAACTTTTTCACTGATATTCCAGTTTCAACTATAAAATCTTTGAACTCGTCCCCCATTGCTGCTGAATCAATATTAAAAGAACACACAAAACAATATACTAGTCAATTTAAATTTAAGTATGTTAACTGTAAAGATGTAATAAAATATTTCAACCAATTAAATAAAAAGAAAACTGCGGATCTGTGGGGTAACTCCGTGGATGTTTCTGGATCAGTAATTGAGACAATAGCTCCTATTTTGGCTAGCATTTTTAATCAATGTGTTGACTGTGGTGTTTTTCCTGATCTAATGAAACTCAGTAAAATAACTCCATTACATAAATCGGGTAGCACATCTGACCCCACAAACTTTAGACCTTTATCCGTGTTACCCACCTTTAGTAAGATTTTTGAAAAAATTATGCTAGATCAAATGCAATCATATTTTTATAGTAATAACATTCTTCATAGTAAACAATTTGGTTTCACAAGGGGTCGCTCAACAACCGATGCCGGTGTTGAGCTTGTACAGCAAATTTTTGATGCCTGGGAGAACTCGCAAGATGCATTAGGTGTTTTTTGTGACTTATCAAAGGCTTTTGATTGCGTTTTTCATGAAACATTGATCAGGAAACTTCACCACTATGGATTTAGAGATACCACTCTGGATCTTATTGTATCTTATTTGAGTGATAGGGTTCAGAGGGTTGACATCAATGGAGTAAAATCTCCTGGTTCGTCGGTTAAGATGGGAGTTCCGCAGGGCTCAATCCTTGGTCCTTTCTTATTTTTAATTTATATCAATGACTTGCCCTATTTTGTAAAGGATAACCACGAAATAGTATTGTTTGCGGATGACACTTCACTTTTGTTTGAAATTAAACGTAGGGAGTCACAAATTGATGACGTGAACAGGTCTATTTCGAAGGTAGTCCACTGGTTCAATGTTAATAATTTGATGCTAAATGAAGGGAAAACTAAGTCTTTGAAATTTGTATTACCTAATGTGAAACAGGTAAAAACTAATGTAAATATAAAGGATCGACATATGAGCTCTGTAGATACCACAGTGTTCTTAGGAATCACACTAGATTCTAAGCTGCAGTGGGGCCCACATATTGATGGATTGTCGAAGAGACTTAGTTCTGCAGCATATGCTGTAATGAAAATACGGCAGTTAACGGATATAGAAACTGCCAGATTAGTCTACTTTAGTTATTTTCATAGTGTAATGTCTTACGGTATTTTACTGTGGGGAAATGCCGCCGACATTCAAACTATATTTGTGCTGCAGAAGAGGGCTATTCGATCAATTTATAATCTTAAAGTTAAGGATTCATTAAGAGATAAGTTTAAAGAAATAGGTATATTGACAGTTGCATCACAATACATATATGACAACTTAGTATTTGTAAAAAAAAATATTAATTTGTTTACTAAAAATAGTGAAATACATACACATAATACTAGAAATAAAAATAACTTAACTTTACCTGCTACTAGGCTCCACAAAATCAATAATTCGTTTAGAGGTCTTAGTGTTCGCTTTTACAATAAAGCTCCAAGCAATATTCAAGAGTTAAGCATGACTAAATTTAAATCGACCATTAAAAAATCACTAGTTAAGAAAGCATATTATAAAGTGTCTGATTATATTACAGACAAAAATGCTTGGGTATGAACTGTTCCAACCATTCCAACGGGTATTTCTATATGATTTAAATTATGAATTATGTGTTGACAATACTATAATTAAACTGAAAGCTGTATATAAATTTAATAACTTAAGTAAGATTATCAGACTGTATAAGAATATTTGATTGACAAAACGGCGTGGTCGTGATTTCTCCTTTGCTTTGTTTTGTAATTGTTTGTTGTGTCTTACAGGTAAATGACCTTAATTTAAGTAAATATGATTTTTTAAGTATGGTTTTTTATGGTTCATCATACAAAAATACATACAACCCTAAATTTTCACCCTTCTATCACCAACCCCTATTTTTTATGGTGGTACGAAGTTCGCTGGAACAGCTAGTATGTATATACAATACCCGGCGGCCGTTAACAAGAGGCCGAAGGATTACTCGGTTACTACAGAAACCTTATGGCGAATACACTTACTGGAAGTCCTCCAACTTTTGATTTTTAAATCCTGTTATCTTGATGTTCTCAAATTCGAATACAATATCAGATGCCGGTTCAGTGTATTCCATTTTTTGTATTTCCAAGGGATCTATTGGTTCCAAGCTATACTCTGGTGCTCCAGCGCTTGTATGATTGAATATTGATAGCGCCATTGTTTTAAAGCACTCTAAATCGTTGTGATTGCATGGGACTGTTAGTGCTGGAAGAAATAGAGACACAAATTATTTGATTGGTTGTTTAATCGAGTGCTATATAATTAAATCCCAACGGCTGGCACCCGCCATTCTCAAAAATATTGATCTCAGCTTAACTCTATTAATTTTGACAACACATATCGCTAGTTCCGAATAAAAGCTTGAATTTGTGTGAAAATTACTGTAAAAGTGACGTCAATGTGTGCGTGACAGAAATGACGCATTGCTCTGAGCTGACTCTGGTCTGAACACCCTTCTCAATATAAAAATGATGAAGTCGCAGTCCATCTGATATACACTTTTTTAATGTATACTACATGTCGAATTTAAACGTTCTGAGAAAGGTTCGAATCGGCTTGGTGTTATTATTCCTACGGATTAAACGTCATCTTAATATTTGTTTTAACCTTTTCTTTTATAACCTTTTACATGATGGTGTCATATATTTTTGCAACTTTCCTCCTTCTCCTCCATATTTTTGAACCTTTTGATCTAAGGATTTCAAATTGTGTAATAACAAATACATATCTACCTACCCGATATTCGCTTAAATTTTATTAATTTGGTACCTTTTGATATATTAAAATAGTATCATAATCCAACTAAGCCTGCTAATGTTTCAACTTGTGGGGCACAAGACTTCATGGTGAAATAAGGATAAAAGACTTGGGAAAAGTGCGGATTGGTAGATGCTAACGACTGCAGTGTAGATACAGCAAGGCAGGACCATCTGTTTGACGTGCCTTCCAAAGAAGGTGCGTTTTTTAGATAATATTTTTTGTCACCCATTTTGTCACTGGCAATTGCAAAAGTTGCTTTAGCTCTGCGATCGTTAACCACTTGCTACTGAGTCATCGAGCTCCTTGTTATGGTAAAGACTTATTTTAATAATACTTAAAAAAAATTTTTTTTGCTGGTATGTTCCTCTTTTCAGCTCATTTATACACGGAGGAGGTACTGAGTTAAAGTTTAGATGAGAAGACGGGATAGGTCCATATTTTGTAGTATTCATCATCATCATCATCATCATCAGCCTCTTTATGTCCCCACTGCTGGGGCACAGGCCTTCTCTATGGATGGAATAGGGAGATTGGGCTATTACCCACCACGCGGGCCCAGTGCGAATTGGCGGGTGCTAACGACTGCAGATGCAACCGGGACCAATGGCTTAACGTGCCTTCCGAAGCACGGAGGAACTCGAGATAGAAATTTTTGTTCACCCATCCAATAACCGACCACTGCGAAAGTTGCTTAACTACAAGGATCGCAGCCGAACGCGCTAACCACCTGCGCCATCGAGCTCCTCCTGTAGTATTTATATACAGGGTGAAATTGAATGTTTCTATGAAACTTCGTGAGATTGTTGGGTTACGTGTTTAGAGTATGCATGATTTTTTTCGGATTTTTTAAAATAAAATTTTTCGTTTTTTAATTTTTTATTTGGTTATTTTTTTGTCATTTCTTCCTTATGAGTAATTATTCATTTTAAACACGTCTACATAGAAGTTATAAAGCAACTTAAAATAAGCACTACTAAAAAAACGGAAACTTAATGAATGCCTTCATTATGCCTCCAGTCGAGATCAGCGCCCGTCGGGGCGACGACCGCGGCCGCCTGTGTATATACCTACTACACGCACAGATGACTCGGCACTTACCTACTCTCCGCTTTGATCCACACTATTTAAAAACATTACAATAAAACAGTCTTAGATGCTATATTATAATTATTTATTCACTGATACACAATACCTTTGAATATTGTTTCATAAAGCACAGGTAATTAATCAATAAAATAAATCTTCTGTTAGAGCAATTAAAAATCCTATAAAGTTAATATGACTGTCACGATTTTAAATCGGTAAAGCCTGTCTGTTAGTGTAAGAACTTCTTTTTTATTGTTAATGTTAGTTGCCTCGTTTAATTAAAACTTAAGCACAAACGGCTTATTAAATTGGGAAAAATCATACAGAGCAAATCAGTATAACTTACGAGCTTAGTGAAGGAAGGAACTCTTCGTGTCTGATTTGCCCACGTCATGAAATTCCCAACACATTTAATCACAGCCACAGTCACACACACACACACACACACGTAATAATATGTTGTTTTGCGGCAAGCACGGGCGGGCGGCGCGCCGCACGCTGGCAACTAGCGCCGGTTGCGGCGTCTTTGATGATGTGAATTCCGCCCACCTCCCCTCTTCCCCGCACGCGGTGGTTTGCTTTGATTGCATGCAAAACGCAATCGCAAGTATATCAATCGCGCGTGCGCGTGCGCATCTTTTGACTTAGTGACATACACTGTGATAATTTCATTATGCCTCGGTATACGAACCAAGAATACCTATTTAGAGATGGTGTACTGCTATCGCGAGTGTGACGAAGTAGGTTTGGTTTACGAATGAGTCCCCAAACCATAGAAGTTGCATTTTGTGCAGTGAGTAGTGATAGGGACACTTTAAAAAAGGTGAAAAGACACGTCCGCAAACATGCCTACCTTTGTTTGCAGCAAAATGGTGGTTTAGATTTTGCAGATAATAATTTAAGTCTCTTTTTATTGCTAGTGTAAATACTTTTTGATTAGAAACAACTAATTGTGTACTACCAGTATGATTGATTTGATAACAAGTTCTAGTGAAAAAAATGAATATGTTCCTCTTTCCTCGTTGTACCTACCTACATCGCCGGTCTCGTAAGTACTTTTGAATACCGGTTTATAAATTTCATTCTGACCCAAGTATTGAACTGCAATAAGTATTTCTTTTTGTTTAACATTTGCCTATTTCCAATCGTGACAAAATTATTATTAACTTTTAAAGTTTTTCTCTGCTTAAGAGAAGATGACATTTGTGCTTATTATTTCAATTTCAATAAAGGCATCTAAGACGATTTTATTGTATTGTGTGGAATCAAACGAGTCAGCTGAGCTCTGTGTAGAGCTAGGTACCTACTCACTCAACGGCTGGCGGGCGCGGTCGGTCGTTGACCCGCGGTGGAATTTAATGTTTTTCCGTTTTTTAGAAGTGCTTATTTATTAGTTGTTTTTCACTGGATATGTAAGTGTGTTTGTTTAAAATGAATAACTACTCAAAAGGAGGAAAGGACATAAAAATACACAAATTATAAATAAATACATAAAAAAAAATATACTTCGAAAAAATCCGAAAAAAAACAGGCATACTCTATACACATAACCCAAAATCTCACGAAGTTTCATAGAAACATTCAATTTCACCCTATATATTTAATAATGCATTAAAAATATTAAATTAATAAAATAAACATAACATACACTACACTGCATTTTCTAGGTCATTAAGTGATTTGTAAAAATTTTGATGCACACGGAAATATAGATTAATATGGAAATATAGAAAAATATGTTGCATTTATAACTCACCTTCTTTACAGAAAACACACTTGATGAAAGCAAAAACAAAGAATAACTTGATGTTTACACCCATGTCGCAGTAATTGAAAAACCACAAAGAGCAGAATGTGTAAACGAGTGAAATTTATATAAAATTGCAATTGCTATCTTTTAAAGACATGTATTCACAGGTCAAAAATTATCAGATTCACAACACCTTTTTAAAATAATGTGTACATTCGCTATCATAAAATTATCCATTACTGACAATTTTCTTAAACCGAATTTGATCTCCATCTTACTAGATATGAGCTTCAAAATCGTCTGAAAAATTTGGCACTTGATATGTTGTTGCCTATATACTAAATGATAATTTGCAACAATGTATTGCTTTATGATTAGGACGCACTGATAGTCAATGACACTGTCCGAATCATTGAGTCTCAATTGATTGTGAATTTCACACTAACAAATGATATTCAGAATGAGACTCAGAGTCAGTTGGAGAAAGATGTCAATATTGGATAAATTGTCCTGTTGTTGATGGTAACTACTCTTTATCAATCTGACATTATAACTATATAAATATGTATTCTGTGTAAATTGTTGAGCTACTATGATTATTTTTATCGTTATGCTTTTGTGGAATATTTTATACTGAACTCATATAGTAAATTTACAGGACTGATTGTTTAATTAAAATAAATATTTTGTTATAAATAGGTCTAAGAAAATAACTCCGCCCTACCTGAGATACATATGCAAACGTCAGCTTTCGTTTTAAAGTACTCTTTTGTTGTATTTTCATTTTTAAGCATGTAACTGCTAGGTGTTAATATCTAAAGAAAATTTTACTAGAGAAAAATCCACGCGGAGCAGGCAGCAAACGGGACTTGGACCCGCATCCTTCGCTATCCGGGCGCATGCACTGACCATTATGCTACCGCGGCCCTGACAGCCTTGTCAAATTTTCTCTAGTCTTTCTTTAGCTGCAAGGCAGCGCCATCTCTTTGCATTGTAGGTAACTCACAATGGCAAACAAACATTTGATAAATATTAAACATTTGAAAGAAGAAATAGCAATTATAGTTCTATTGCGGGTTCGAGTCCCGTCTGCTGCCTGACGTTAGTATGAGATGAATACTTATCTAATAGTAAGAACTATACAGTCCTTATTTAGTTTACAAGAAGAGAAATGGTTTTTCCGTGATAACTTTTAGAACAGACCTTGGAGCACAGTTACAGCTTGATCATTCTTGATTAACACGCGCCATCCCATAAGAAAAACGCAATTAGATGAAATCTATTATCTTACTTTGCTAGTGATAAATATTTATATTCTAGAGTTTTGGTTTAGGAACATTTCACAGATAAAAAAAATCCATATCAACTATCGTGTGCGCAATGATAATAATGAGTAGATTTGTTCATTTTACGAAAGGGCTTCATCTATTTGAACATATAGACGTACTTAAAGTGACTTATTCTATTCAATTTTAGGTAAACACACATGAGTAAATAATATAATATTTCTAACACACACTTAGTTTAGCCCCAAAGTAAGCACTGTACGCTTGTGTTATGGGTTACTAGGGTAACGGATACAATATATACACTGATACATATATAAGTATATTTATATAGAAATTCATATGAAACATTCATGACTGGAGTGCCACCGTAACTCGAACCGACCTCTCAAGCAGGCGATACTTTGAAATCCGGCGTACAAACCACTCCACCACGGAGCTCGTCGTTAAATACAAGTATTAAAGATGAACATATTTTAGTAGGTGAGATCGGGTCCTCATTAACTAATTTCATATATATTTAAAGTAATATAATTCCTCAGACGATTTTTATCACCACACATCACGAAGATACATGTGACAAACCTGGCTTCATAGATCTTTACACTAAGCCCTACTAGTTTCCAGTTAAACACGACTGCGGTCTCTTTCGCATATGTATATGTTTGTATTCGCCGGGATCATTAATATAAATTATTAACAAGCTCGGTCCTATCACAGCCCCTTGTGGTAAGCCACATGTTATCGAAAGTTTGAAGCTGTATAAACTATCAATTTTGATTATCTGAGCCCGAGGGCAGACAACTGCGAAGTAATTCAAAAGGTAGAACTCGGATTCCTAAAGAGTGCAAGTTTTGTGGTAGGGTCAGCGTAGAACAGCGTGTCGAAAGCTTTCGCTAAGTAAAGGAAAACCCTGAAGATTTATTTTTTATTGTATGAAGTTTTAACTACTACATAAATTAGTTTTACGAGCGCATTTTCTGAAGATTTTTCGGTTGAAAACTATATGGAGATTACAAAAATTTATGCTTTTTGGTTATTATGATTCCTTTGTCGTTTATTTATATTTTTTTAATAATTTTTGCAATGGATGTAAGAAATGATATTGAAAGATAGCTCTTAACACGTTCCCTACTAATACCATAGTAGATTAGATGAATTGAAGAATAATGCAAGGGCCCATACTGCGGGAACCGTCAGGGAGTACTTAAATGACATTGGTATCACTGTTATGAGATGGCCAGCGCGAAGTCCTGATATGAATCCTAAAGAGCATCTATGGGATGAGCTGAAGAGGCGTGTTTGAGCTCATCATCCTGCCCCGCAAACCATGCAGGAGCTCAAAAATGTAATTTTGGAAGAATGGGAGGACATTCCTCAACATGTCATAACGACATTGATTAATTCTATGCCAAACCATATGAGGGCTGTCATAAATGCACTGGGAGGCAATACAAGTTACTAAATAAACATTTCTTTTCATGTAAAACATGTCTTTATTTAAAAATCGATTAGATTTTTTTCCGTGAAAAAAGCAAATATGGACTTGTTTCAACGTAACTCGACTTTTTTAATAAATTGTAGTTCAAATTTAGAACCGTGGCACTCTAAATGAATGATGAGTATACCAGCTCCAAAACTGCATCAAAACATTTTCCTTCTACATACATCTTTTATAAGTTACAGTACTCCAAACCAAAAAAATCAAGGTGACTCGATTTAGGTGTCCGGGAGTGTATTATAGTAAACATGAATATCCATCACTAATGTCAAAATGTAGGCACGAGGTAACGTGGAATAACGGTTCAGTATTTTCCATCTGCCTTTTGTTCTGTAATCTAAGACCCTAATGTATTCAGCATTTGTAAGAACTCCGAATTTAAATTTCCTAGTACAAAGAATCTGTCAGTATAGATGCGGTCATATGGAAGAACAGCGGTTAGGGTGAATTGCGGCCTGCGACCGCGGCGGTAGCCAGTTGTATTTGCTTGCAATGGAAGCAGTGGTCAAACACGACGAAAAAGACAGGCCGTGTATATCCGTCAGATATTTTCTTGTTAACTACTAAGTAGGTAGGTACCCTAAAAATGGTAGAATACTTACTGAAAATCTCTCGTTTTCTCATTTTTATGGTTCCGTAGCCAAATGGCAAAAAACGGAACCCTTATGGATTCGTCATGTCTGTCTGTCTGTCCGTCCGTATGTCACAGCCACTTTTTCCGAAACTATACTGTTGAAACTTAATTGAAAACAAAAATAGAAAAACAAACAATAAATTTTAGGGGTACCTCATACTAGGACTGATACTATTTTTTTTTCATCAAACCCATACTTGTGGGTTATCTATGTATAGGTCTTCAAAAATGATATTAAGAATTGTATTTTTTTTTCTAAGCTACAATACTTCCAATATAAGAGAATGATAAACTTAAAAAAATGATGAATGATCCAAACTTCCACCGAAAATTGCTTTGAACTAGATCTAGTCAGTAGTTTACCTTTCATTCAATCAAATCAAATAGAAAGATTAAAAAATATAAATATAAACCTTATGCATAAACAGTAAACCATAACGTAAACTTAACAATAACTTAATAAAAAAAAAAAACACTATTATTAAAACATCGATCAAAGTTACAACGAACTACAAGAATTTATTATGTTACTTGCTGCTACGGTACCCTTCATGGACGAGTCCAACTCGCACTTGGCTGCTTTTTTATCCTATTATCATAATGTTCTCAAAATTAATGACAATATCAGAACCTGTATTGGCGTCAGTCACTTGTTTTAATTCCAACGGATCTATTGGTACCATACCATACTCTGGCATGCTTATGCTCGTCTTGCTGAACAAAAAATCGGCCAACCTGTGCATGCATTCTGGGTCACTATGGTTGCATCATTGCATGGGTCTATTAGTACTGGAAAAGGCGGAATATGTAAATACACTATAGTAGGTATTTTGAGTTTTTTTCAACAACGGATTTAAGTTGTATGTGTAGATGAATGATGACTATTCCCACTGCAAATAAAGTTACAGTATCGACAAGGCTCAAACTCAAGTTAATTGGCCTGACTGATTACTATTTTCTTATGGACCTAACTAAAGGCTAGGCATGCGTCCGATATATCAAAACGAATCCAAAATCCGATTTCAAACACAAATCGATACCGAACGATTTCTCAACAAGAAAATCCGATTTCAGAAATCTAACCGAACCAAAACGCCAGCGATCTAATACCATCATAAGTATCCAAATGTAAATCGGATTCGAAATTCATGCTATCTTTTTTTCTCCGCTATGTAGCGATTGGTTAGAAAGAGAGAAAGTGAATTTCTTTGTCTCTTTCTTACCAATCGTAACAAAGCGGAGTAAAAAAGATGGCGCAAATTTCGGAAGTCCGATTTCGGTTTGTTGTTTAAGGAAATCTGTTGCTCTTCTCTAAGGCGAGATTATTTATCACTAAAAACATCAAAAGTCGAGCAACTTACATTTATGAATCCTAACCTGAAGGAATTAGGTTTGATTTTGTAAATGGTTTGAAAAATAATAAAAACAAACAGAAAAATAAAATTCATCAAAAAAAAAATACTAAAAAATTTGTAAAAAGAAGTCATTGCCCGTTTTTTTAGCTAATAAAACCAAATCTTAACGCAAACTAGTGAATTGGCTAAGTTAGGCACATCTGAAATCGGATATCTAAAAACGGATTTTGAAATCGATTTTTAAATCTGAAATCCGATATATATCCGTTTGCGTTCAAAACCAAAAACGCCCATGTCTAACAAAGGCTCTTGTAACAAACAACACATTTTCAATAGTTCTGAGAATAGATTCAATGTTAAGTTTCAAGTGTTTGTGGTATAGCGACCTTGAGACCTGACTCAAGTTTATTTGGAGTCGGCAGTCGTTAGTGATGTGTTTTGTTCTCGGGAATATTGGGAATTTAATGGGAATACACGCAAATTTTCCAGTGTTTCCGATAATAATAGTACCAATATACTTAGACGAAATGACTTCAGTATGACCTCTATAAGCCGAACATCCATATTTATAGCCTGTTCGGATGTACGCAGGGTTCTAAATGTAGATATTTTGAAAGGTACCTATGTAGATATTTTAGCAATAAAGTGGTGTAGATTCTAGCGTGATTCTCTAAACTTAAAACTAAATTTAACATCAGTCTCTCCTTTTCATTCTGTATAGAGAATGACAAGGATGCACTGTTGTCAAATTTAAGTTTAGCTTTAGAGAATCATGCCAGAATCGATATCACTATGTCTGTTTATTATTAGAACTATGTTTAATAATTCAAAACTCATATAAATACAATTAAAAAGATAATACTATTATGTGTCAATTATACTTTTTTGAAGATTGCTAATTGCAAATAAACAGCACATTTAGATTTAAACATCAAGCAGTTACATGCTTTAAAAAATAAAAATTCTAAACAGCACATTAGTTTGGGCAGGGGCACAAAACAGGTAGGTACAGAATAGGGGTGACGGGGTACAGTAAACGAAATTCTATTTAGTCCGTCAGTTAGATGATCAAAAAATAATGGACACTTATTTTTTCTTTGGGCAATCAACCAAAAAATGACAAAGTTATAGCGCGTCAAAGTTTGGGAGTAGGGGCTCGTGACGTCACTTTTGAGTGAATTTTCACTTATAAGTGTCCTCAAACGTGACGTCATGCGACTTTTCAAATCATTATATCTCTGCAATGTTTATATTGTGTGAAAAAAGAAAAAATACATATCCAATACTTTTTAATAATCTACCTGATAAACGAAGAAAAAAAATTAGTCATCATCCCTATTCAATCTACATACAAAGTGCGCTCGAGCAACGCACACATGGACGCCCCCTCACGGACACAATATCTTGGACCGGGATCGGGAGCTCTATTTTTGAATTACTCACCTGACATAATATCGTCGATTGTGGCATAAGTCACCATCGACTTTGATATTCCGTATTTTTGAATCGTTCGTCACCGGTGTTACCAGTTTAATACGAACTATAAAATTTTATTCATTTTACGCAGCAAAAATAACAACCGGTAATTACCGAAAAGAAAACGGTACAAAACATTCTCAGTACATGGCTGTATACTACAATTATATTTTGTCGTTTTTTATGACGGCACTTCACTTAGCTATTCGTGATTGCTGTTTGTAAACTTGACATGCATTAGCCGTCATGCCATAATAAAAGAAGACGACACTTGACATCAGTCTGCCCTTGTCGTTTCATATAAAGTATGACAAGGATAGATTATAGTAAAAGAAACTAATCGTAAGCACGGGATAAACTGCAAAAGTGAATTAAGTTTGACACGTGACATCTGACACAAATTCACAATTATTCTATCATTTGCTTCAACCATTCGCCATGAAACGATTGGGCTCACCCATTCGTTGCACTCGAGCGATTCAAAAATAGGGAATTTATTATGTCGAATGAAAATTATCAATAATCGAGCGTTCGAGGCAAGGCGAGAGATTCAAAATTGAGCTCCTGTTGTGCGAGCGCTAGAGCCACCCGCTTGAGGCACGCGTCTGTTAACTTTTTGTGCAGAAGTGGAGCAACAAAAAAGTTATTATAACCTGTGGACGATTGTTTAAATTCAAAATTAAACTGTGAATTGTCGTTTTTTTAGTTTGTAACATAACAATAACATTAAATATTGATTGAAATATACGAGTTATCATTCCCGTTATTCCTGTTACATAAACAATAGATGAAACAACGTGATACGAGTGTATTATAATTTATTACCCATTAATTTTATAAACACTTTAAAACTTAATACTTTGAAACTTCTTTAAAGTAATAAAAAGAAATGGAATTGAAATAAAACTGGTCAATATACTCGGATTTCTATACTTTAAAAAACATAACTACCTCTGAAATTATAAATATTTAAAGGAACACTATTTATTGACTATTTAAACCATAATATCAAAAGTATCCTAGTACTCAGAAATAACAAACCTCTTATTTTTATTCAAGTAATTTCTACTGTAAATGATAAAAATATATTATTATAATTTATAATATTAATTTTGTGATTTTTTACCCCTCCCTCGTCCTTGTCACAGTTGGTAACATTTGTGTGTCCACACCTCCCTAGTGTGACGTCACATATTTTGCATCTAAAAAATATTAATTTTAAACAAACGAAATAAATTCCGAAAATTAACCAAGCTAACAAATTATAGTACATTACTGCAGCAGCCAGAAAAAGAGGTATTGGTGGACGAACGTGAAAATGTACGTAAGCCCATCAATGCCTAGTTGTGGCCAAGGCTTCTATAGTACTTTTCTCATATAATGCGCGGAGATTAAAACTAAGTAGGGGAAACTACCCAATCATTGGCACTCTTCCTATTATTGGCACTTTTGAGTTTAGTTCGAAAAAACCAGGAAACAATAGATTGTAGTAAAATGCTGCCAATTTTCAAATTTCGTAACCATACTAGGTTTTTCTTTTTCAAATGTAACGACCTTGAATAATCTATCGTCTCCTTGTTTTTTACGAATTAAACTCAAAAGTGCCAATAATAGGACGAGTGCCAATGGTTGGGTGGTTTCCCCTAGTACCTAGGCAGAACTTATCATTTTAAAATCAATGGAAAACAGCACTCATTCATTTTTTTTTCAATAATCAGCTTTCTACATCTCCCACATCTATCGGCCCACCTAGCATTTAAAGTTTTAACGGTCCCTAGCTAAAAATATATTTTAAATTAAGCAGATAAAAAGTTATTAGCTACGCAGTTTTTAAGCTGATTTATTAACCATAAACATATTATGTATATTTTGCTACAGACCGTTGAAACATAGAACACTAAGTGGGCGGATGGATGTGCCTGGCAGTATATTTGCATGTCAGTTCGAAATTTAAATAAAACCTTTGATAAGTTACCTCCTTAGTTGCCATTTTTGAAAGAAGTGAAAGATTGTTCCATTTTTAAATTACACGACAGATATGAGTTTAAATAAATAAATAAATATTTCCAACACACACACCAATTAGCCTAGCCCCAAAGTAAGCACTATAAGGCTTGTGTTATGGGATACTAGGGTAACGGATAGAATACATATACTGTACATATATAAGTATATTTATATAGAAATACATATTAAACATCCATGACTGGAGTACAAATGCACGAATTCATCACACAGCATCTGCCCCCACCGGGATTCGAACCCGGGACCTTTCGAGTCGGCGACACCATGAAACCCGATTATGGTGGTTTTTATGGTTTTTTACACAACTTTTTCCAGTCGTTGGGCGCATGTATTAGGCCAGTACAGCAATTTCCATTTAACTCGAAAAAGGTAGTCAAAATAATGCTCACATTACCAAGTTTGTTTGAGAAAAAACTAATACAGAAAGATTGCTAAATATTTTAAAGATTTTTGATAAGAGTTCGAGTATTCGATCTTGAAATCTACAGGAGAGTATTAGATTTAGAAATAAAGGATCTACTGGAGAGTTCTTGTAATACCCCTCTCAATGTCTGGCGCACTCGATGATTTTTTCCCCAATAATCTATCCCTTCGTGCGGCCACCCCCACACCGTGCAAAGCGGCAGAATAATAAATACATTGTAATAGCCCAATACGATAACGAACTACGATACGAATGCATTAAGATTTTTGTTTTATATGATTTTATTGAATTTATTTGTATCATTATCTCTTTTAAGTTATATTTTTTAATTGTTTAATTTTGTTTGTTAAATTTTCTGCGTTAAAGATAGGGATGGGTGTGTTCAGACGACGATGCGGTATGCGTTTCGTTTCACTCTAAACTGTAGTAACTACTCTAGGGATTCAAGGGGAGAATCCTGGGAGGCGCAACTCTACTAAATAAAATACTGAATAATTGAACTTTTAGCTAAATTTTATAGAATTTCGGAATAGAATTATATTCACATTAATCTCAACGTTTCGCGTCTGTGCCCGTTTTTCATCTGGAAACATCGAATCGAGACAAAAGGTACTCGAATTCTATTATTTGAATTTACATAATAATAATAATTTTAGTTTTTTAATATGACTGCCAGCCTTGTAGGCACTTGACAAGCAAAGAGGCTACAATGCTGCGGGCGTTACTCTACTGTAAAAATGTAAAAATATTGGCAAAGAATGAATAGTATCGTAATGTTTACGAAGACGAATGATCGCAAAATATACGATAATCGCCGATGTACGATTATCGTATCGGTGTTTGCATCCCTATCAGAAACGTTAAGTGAACCCTCCAGTAGCTTCTATTAAGAAAATTGATGAATTAGATGCGACCACAGACGTGCCCTAGACGTTCGTCCTTACACAAAGGGCTCAGGTAAGGTGGGTACTTCACAAGGTGTAAGGTATAAGGTGGAATAGCTATTTATAAATTTTGAATAAGATTATGGGTATGGCATGGTTAACTTCAGCCCCTGAGAGGATGAAACGGAAGACAAAAGCTGAAACCTATACGAGCGCTTTTTGTTCAAATCACGTTTAACAGAGCAACCAATGCTTTACGTCTTTCTATAGCATTAATCTTATCTTATTAAAACTTCTTTGCATGGGTACCCTTGAAGCGTCTTATAAAGCATGTTGGTTAGAGATTGTTCCTACGAATAAATTTGATTTAGTAATCAGACCCTAACCTGCTTTCGAGAGATGTGACCTGCATATATTTAAAAGAAACCCTTGCAGATTTATCATTCAGGTGTTCAGCTTTAAAGGTGCGAGGGAGACAAAAAATCCACAATCTCAGTGAGGATTAGAGAGTTGATTTATTTCCACTGATCTGTTGGGACTCATGTCGTAGGAACAGATGGTGCTTGCGGAATTTTATGGAATTCCATTTTAATCTCTTAAACCCCATACGCAGTCCCTTTTGAGCGTTTCTGACAATTTTCTGAAAGTTTGAGCCTAGCAGTTGCAAACTTTTTATATTATGGGATGAAAATGATGGTTTACCTATATTCACATTTACATAGTAACCATAGTAAAAACCACTCTTGTGTGTTTTACAAATCTACCTTAGACTTATCTTGTCCCATAAAGTTTGGTATCGCAGTATTATCTGTAAGCCATTATAAAAATACCAAAACCATTTTTGGTATTTCATTCTTTTAAGAGTCAATCATTTAGATATTGTAGCTATATATAAAATGTTTGTTCTACTTTTATGCTCAAAAAAATCATTTTTGAAATGTACTCATCCAGTCTTTACTTTTCACTTTTGTAAATTGCACACTACATAACTACACAGACATTTTAAATTCATGCCAAATTCATACATATATATATGTATATATATATGAAATTAGGAAGTTCTAGTGGAATAAGAAATGTATCTGAAAATCAAATAAATTTAAAAAAGGTAGCAAACAAGTACCTATATGGTATAGGTACTTATTGCTAGCTTCCTGTTTTATACCGGCGCCTACCGTGAGGTGGCCACTATAGCTTATAAACCTTCTTTTTGTTGACAGCCCACTATAGTCTGGTCAGTTCACCTATCAAACGCTCTATAAATAAGTTTCTCATAATAGAGTATAGTATCGAAATATATTTATGAACTCCTAAGGTACTTCAGTATCCTCTGATAACTTCTGCAGAGGATGTCATAGGATACCAAGTCCAAGGAACATGAGAGACCCACAAAACAGCCATAGACCAGAGTCTTCTTATCTCTGAGTACTGAATAGTTTGCTTCAGACTTCTAAATCGCACTTTTCGTTGCACGATCGGGTCTGAATCCAAACTGTAATAATAATCCATTTTATTGTTTGTTAATTTTTTATTTACTTAAGGTAAACCACAATATTACGTTCTTCACTTTACTTCGTAAATTTTGAAAATCAGGGCTTCAAATTGTAATACAGATACTCACACAACTAATTTGTTTCTTTATGATAATTATCTGGCCTCTTACCTCATATTATCTAACGGTCTAGAAGCCAAACTCATAACTGTATCTTATCCAAAAGGAAAAATTAAATCAGAATTGTCTTTCTTTAAAATTGTATTGTTATTGTTAGAACAACAATAATTATAATCAAAACTTATTGTTACGTTTCGTATCCCGACCTTTGGGATATTAAAGGAACAGAAAGCATCTTGGAGATTATCTTAATATCCGGTAATAGTCATATTTTGTGCTGAATTACACTTGAACCGAAAGGGCAACGTTGAAATGGAGGGAATCAAGACATCGTTAAATTTTCTAAATAACCATTTATTAACAAGTAATCAGATGCAGTAATCAGACTACCTACGTTACAGCTCAACGTCTAATTTCACATTCCGGTGTTTTAGAGCAAATAAATAAATTGTTTCCATGTTGTTTTCGTAAAGGAAATTATAAAATATGCGTTGTTACTCTTTGTTAGTAAGTAAGATTGTATAATTATGGTTTTGCATTATCAACGCGATGCGTTTACTTTTGGCCAAGATATGTATTTATTAATTAAGGATGCAAACAAGTTTGTAGTGACTAATGAATTAAGATATGATACATTTATATGAATACTCCCTTTGATATCTAATAGCCCTCTTATAAATAATTATGCAAATAACGGCGAAGTTTAAGCTTACAATGCAATTTGACGGATGCAAGATAAAGACTGCGTTACTAGACCAAGCAATAAGCTTGGTCGTTTAGGTATCTGGAGGTAAGAGTCACTAATGAAGAGAGAGAATTACCACTCGAATCAGACACCTCTTCTGCGGTAGTAACCTCAACCGAACAAAAGCTATAGTAAGACAGCAGCACCTTTGGTCTAGGGCTCCAAAGTGCGGAGGGAGTCAGTTACACGGGCACGCCTAAGTAGCCTTCCGCAGCGGACGGGGGCGGTATGGTGGGCACTTGTCCGCGTACTCAGCCCCCAAGCGCAGGCCATCCTGCCCACGTCTGCGGTGTCCCCACAATACCCCGGGAGACCCCTGCCCTGGAGCCCTGGCTAGGCCGGGAGGCTGTTGGGTGCGGAGACGCGGCAGAATC